GATCGAACGAGGGTATCGTCCGATACCCTCTACGCGTAGAGAAGCGAACGCACGTTGATCCGCGAACCGGTTGGATCGGATCGCTGCCTGTGAAAATTGCTAATGTATTGCGCGTGGGATAACACGCATTCTCGGAATGATTGTCCGGCGCGGCTCTATTATTCTCCGGGAGAGGTTTAATTGAGGGATACCAACAAGTGAAATAAACGCTACGAGCGAAAATTATATCGAAATTATACCTGCAACGGATATAACGGACACATATCGCGCATACAGGACTTGTATCTTAAATTATGAAAGCTAAAATATTATTTTTAAAAGAAAAAAATATATCGAAGAATAATAAAAATTAATGTAGAGGCTTAAATGATGAAAACATACCCAATAAATCGAGATTAAAAATATATAATTAATGCTGCGATGTACGAGCGAAAATTATATCGAAATTATACCTACAACGAATATAACGAACACATATCGCGCATACAGGACTTGTATCTTAAATTATGAAAGCTAAAATATTATTTTTGAAAGAAAAAAATATATTGAAAAATAATAAAAATTAATGTAGAGGCTTAAATGATGAAAACATACCCAATAAATCGAGATTAAAAATATATAATTAATACTGCGATGTACGAGCGAAAATTATATCGAAATTATACCTGCAACGAATATAACGAATACATGTCGCGTATACAGGACTTGTATCTTAAATTATGAAAGCTAAAATATTATTTTTGAAAAAAAAATATATATCTAAAAATAATAAAAATTATAATATAAATAATAAAAATTATATATCTAAAAATAATAAAAATAATAAAAATTAGTGTAGAGGCTTAAATGATGAAAATATATCCAATAAATCGAGATTAAAAATATATAATTAATGCGATGTAATTACGCGATAATTAATGCTGCGATTTAATTTGCGATGATTAAAAACAAATTAAAATTCCAGTAGTAATGTATCATAACAACGATATTTTAGCAATTTAAGATGTAATGGATTTCCATACGAAATATATATGTATATAACGGTATACAATAGCGGTACGCGTACGCTACATAATTCAGCAAGATATTGGGCACTATTATCATAGTAAACCTCCGTTCCTCAATATCCTTTACATGATGTAATTATTCCTAATAATTAAAGCATATATATACTTTGGACAGTTATTAGATCTTTAGAGTTAAAAGCCAGAGAATTATGGAAATTGCAAGCAAATAATACTCTTTATTTCGATGAGCGGATTATATTATTCATTAACGATATTGCATGCGTTTACGACAGATTAATTCAATCTTTTATACAACACAATTAGCTCATTAATTATTACAATGCTTAATACATATTCTAATAGATTTTATTGTTGATCGGGATTGCATTAATTCGCGTCCGTATTTAATTATTTAAAAGAACTATTCCCGTATATATCGACAAAATTGATTACACAAGACAAATTTTTAGCGCCAACAGCGGTATCACATCGACAAAAACAACGACGGAGCGTGTTAGTCCACGTCGACAATGGATTAACGTTAGCGCGTTTTGGCCGCCCCGGATCGTCTGGCAAAATGCAAAAATTATAAAAGCAGACAGCGGGGCACACGATCCATCGATCGTGTCCAGGGGTGTCATTACTCAGAGTGGATGGTGTGCCCGTTGGTCGCGCGATATACACGATCGGTGGATAAAAGAAACCGTGATGGAATGGCTGCTGCTGTTGCTGTGCAGCGGGCGGGCGGGAAGGGAACAGACAGCGGAGGGTAGTAAGTGGGCTAGTAAGTTTCACGATAACAGTTATAAATGACCCTCTCTCGAAGCGCGGCGCCGCAGGACTCCCCAGCTACATGCCAGACACTGGCCCCTGCTTTAACACATGGGGACCCTCTCACCGATATAGTCGTAAAAGGCACTAAACAAACATACGCTAAGTGCCTCGGCCTAGTGTGCGCGTCCGTAGATGTGTATGTGTTTACGTACTCTTGATCGATAATCGGCGCCCGTCGATCGCACGTCTCGGACATCGTTCCTGGTCACCGTCCCGACTTCGGGGAACGTCACTTTCTTGCGACATCGCCTCGTGTAAGATCTTGTATGGTCGCGAATTTTCTCCGAGTAAATATTCTCCGCTATACCGCCGTGTATTCCCCACAAGCCCTTTCATCTTCTTTTTCCTCCCCTTTTTCCCAATCTTAATTTTAACGGATTCTCTGATCAGCTCAAGTCGATTTTAGCGAAAATATCGAGAGAACATCATTTGTATCTCGTCTACTTTTTAACTTTCAACATTATATAAAACTTTGCTTCTAAGAATGAACTTCAGATTCTAATTCACTCGAAGTTAATGAAAAGTATGGTTTCATCTATTTATTTCTTTGAAACTTTGTTCGCGACAGATTTTCCTTTTGTTTGGTCGGTTATAACTCGAGATTATTGACGCCTCGTTTTCGCTAAGAGAGAATTTCAAAGGATCTCATAAAATCTAAGTGTACATTATTAATTATATTATTAATATCAATTTAAATGAGATATGTATTAAGGTTTTTTCTAACAATACAAAAAATTTTTTAAGGAGGGATGATTTACACATTTAAAGTGCACATATTAAATATGCGTTCCCGATGTATAATTTATAATTATTAATTCATATATATTCATAAATGATTACGCAAAACTACTCTTGTTTATTCAGTAGAAAAAACATTTGAATATTTCATCTTTTCAACGCTTTTGCACGAAAAAAACAAAATAAATTTTATTAAAAAATTTTCACATCAAGAAGCTGCAACCAACATTGATTAAATATAATTGTTGAACACGCAAAATGCTATTCCCTTTGTTAATAAATGTATATTTAAAGTATGATTCAAAGTATATTCAAATGTACAGTATATTCAAAATATATATATTCAAAGTCTAAGACATAATGCATGGATAAATTGAGTGTATTTACGCGCGTATGCGTGTGCATGTGTGTGTGTTTGTGAAAGTTGTCTTCCTCGTTCGTTTTAACAGTGGCGTAAGTAGATGAGCAAGTATCTAAAGCACTCAGAACTTAAGCACATTCGATTTGCCCCAACATACGTCTCCCCCTCTTTCTCTTTCTTCTCCTCAAAAGCACACGCGCGGTATAAATTTATTATCAGCAAGATATCTTAGTAAATCAAGAAATATTATATTTATATATATAATGTGTATGTATCGAGGTAAATTTGGCCAATTTCACATTCATCTTGAGTCCCTAATATCAAATGAATCGATCGATTTCGGATACGCAAAAGTAGCTTTTAGACGCCACGACGTCCAAGGATATCGCATCACCCAGGATAGATGTTAGCCATAATTGCACCGTCCTTGAGGAAATACGACGCGTTATCCGACGGTATTATGAACACAAATCTGCGTCGTCGTCTCTCTCCGGAATGTTGAGCGAAAGTCGCATCTCAAGTCTCGATTGTCCTCTTCGGCGAACGATCTCTCCGGCGCGGCGGTTCCTCTAAATTGGGATCTCGCTTTCACGTGACAGATAGCTTTTAAGAAATTTATCCAACCGCACATTAAATGACGCGGATCTTGATAAATCCAAATGGAATTTTGGTGTTACCGCGTTTCGCTTGGCGCGCGACTTTCGACGCGGATTTGGCGGTGTTACTCGATGCCAAAAATCGATTTATTGGCACTAATCCGCGCAAATGCCATGACATATTTCCATATTAGAATTTAGTGCAGGCCGTACGAACGGACGAACAAGGATACGAAGTGGGATACAATCGCGTGGCACCACTTACCCCCTACGCGTCGGTATTTCATCGTTAAGCTGGAATTGACATTCATTTGAAGATATATGTGAAATTTATTTTGCTCGCAATCTCACTGACAGTTAAATATATATACATATATACGTATATATATATATATATATATATTTGATGTTCCATTCCTCTAATAAATTATTTTTGTCTACCTGTTTTTTATTATCAAAGAAAATTACGATCTTCCTTTAATAAAACTTTCAAGAGCATTAAAATTTTATAATATAATATATAAATAAATATAATTATATAATGTAATTTATATAATTAAATGTAATTATATAATATATATAATTAAATATAATTATGTAATGAAATAATTATACACATAGCACAAATTTAAATAATCGAATAAAATCTTCTTGAAATTTAACAGAAAAAAAATTTAGAAAGTGATATTTTCAAGTATTTCAACTTCTAATTACATATGTTTAGACATTTTTTAAAATAATATTAATAACATTTTTTAGAAAAATATTTTGATTTTATCACTCAATAAATGAATATAAATGAAATCATACAAAATAACTAAGTTTTTATAAAATTAAACTGTCATGTTTGAATGAATTTATAATTGAATATTATAATTGAATAAAAGTTAAAAAAAAATTATATAATATAAAGTTGATGAAGATTTATAAAATTAAGAGAAATATTTTTTATGAAAGTTTTTTATGAATATTTTTTATGAAAGTTTTTTATAAATTTAATTGAATAAGAATTATTTGATCATTATGATACTTATAAAAAATTGTTATAATAAATTGTTATAATAATAATAGTTAACAACACTAGAGTAATAAAAGATATGTACAAATAATATATATAGTTAATATAAAAGAGAAATATATAAATAATACATACAGTTCTGTTTAACATTACTTCATCGTGATTAGCTTTCGATGGATATAAATAATTCCAATGTTTATTCATGGGAATGAAGAGACGACGATTGGCGTAAAATACTTTTCCGCATACGTCTGCATAGCATCGGAAATTGAACTCACCGAAATTATGCAGCGGATTGAATTTCAATTCTTAGCTTTTAAAAGCTCTCAGTCTCTCATCGCGACAGCTTGAATGCATTTTGGAGTCACGCTGCCGCCTTCGTCCTGCGAAACGCGCAGATGCAGACAAACCCTGTTCCGGCGCGCAAGTGGAACAAGTCGCTCCCTGAACAGACAGTGAAAATATCATGGCGGCAAGTTCAGATATCGATCGTGGACCAGTGGGATGCTGGCCGCCCGACGTTTCGCTGATCGCACGCCACCATTCGGCATCTTAAGCGCTTTTGTTTTCGCTTGCCGTTTTTTTGTACACCATTTAACTGTAAGACTACTGCCAAGGTACACGTGTCAGAGAGCTCCGAAGATTTCGCACGGGGTGTATTCGTCAGTGCCCTACTTTCACACGCGTTTGTAAACAATACGGAAGATGCGGACGTCAGTGCTCACAGTTTTGCTCAATGTCTTCAGTATCATTTACGGTAAGTTGATTATCAGATAAAATGATTCATTGGAAAACGTCGATGATGTTCAGTTACATTTGTTCTATTATGAAAACGAATAAATCTCAAATCTTCTAAATTCCTAATAAGATAGCTACGTTAATCATGTGTCCTTCTGTCACATTATGTATTGAAACGATAAATTTACTATTGAAAAAATCTTAGCATTGTAAGAGAAATATTTTAAATGTGTTTTGTTTAATTATTAAAATATATTTTTAATATACATACAGAACATTGAGTTGCAGTCAATTTAAAAAGGATATATCTTTAAAATTCCTATTTCTCAAAAATACAAAAATCTCTCGATAGAATTATATATAATGTAGCTATATATAATATTCTATTTCTATATCGTTTCAAAAAATAATTACAACTAATATTTCAATAAATATTCTTTTATACAGGAGGCAAAGTTTACGAAGCAAATCCTGATACAAAGAGACTTTACGACGATTTACTGTCCAATTACAATAGATTGATACGTCCTGTTCGTAATAATACGAATACTTTAACAGTTGGGCTTAACTTAAAGTTGTCGCAATTAATAGAAATGGTATATAGACAATGCTATCTTACTAAAACAATATTTTGAAATTCAATTCATTGTTTTTCATTTTATATACTTAATTTATTTAAGTTATATTTAAGAATCTCGTGGGAAACTAATGATTAACACATTTCAGAATCTAAAGAATCAAGTTATGACAACGAATGTCTGGGTAGAGCAGGTAATATCTACAGTTTTATATCATTTTCTTCTACTTACTTATGATAATATTTCGGCTGTTATAGGCAGACTTACAAACTCTATTTACTCTTTACAGAAATGGTATGACTACAAATTGGAATGGAATCCACAGGAGTATGGTGGTATAGAAATGTTATACGTGCCTTCCGAAAACATATGGCTTCCGGACATTGTGTTATACAACAAGTAAATTGTAACGGAATTTTTATGAAATAAAATTGAAAAATCTACGTCAAATTTTCTCCGAATAACAAGGAAATTTATTCGCGATTGTTCACAGAGAGAACTGAGAAATTTATTTAATCAATTTGAAAAAACGAAGTGTTATGCAGAAATACTAATTTTGAATTTTCTAATCTTTTCTTGTTTGTGTTGTTACAGCGCAGATGGAAATTACGAAGTAACACTAATGACAAAGGCCACTCTGAAATATACTGGCGAGGTATACTGGAAACCGCCGGCTATTTACAAGTCGTCTTGTGAGATTAACGTGGAATATTTCCCATTTGATGAGCAATCATGTATTATGAAGTTTGGTTCGTGGACCTATAACGGTGCTCAGGTTATAACATTGCATATTTATGCAAACAATATAGGATATTCTAAAGTAATCGAATATTGTTAATTCTTTAAAATCATTATTTCAAAGAAAAAATGAGAAAATTTTTTCTGTAAATCACTTTCATAAAAATAAATAGAAAAACGAAACCATGTTCAGTTGCTTTCAAATAAATGTTTGTCTATCAAAATTAAAATTAAACTCTTTGCACTAATAAAATGTAAAATCTGAAACTTAATTAAAATGATATGTATATAATATATTATAGTAATAGTTATTAAATATATAAAAATGTGAAAAATTATGAATATTTCCCGATAAATATAAGATTTCAAATTAGATTTCAATTAAAACTTTTTTAAAATTAAAAGAATATTTTATAGTTTTAAGATATCTTGTACAGATTTTTGTTACAATGATTTTTAATTTAATTAATTATTTATACTTTATCTCTATTTAAATTACATATTCATTATTCATAATCGCTAATTTCACTTACATGAATAATATTTATCGTAATAAATCTTAATCACTTTATAAGTCTTTAGGTTACACTTGGTTTAAATAAAATATTTCAAAACATGCTCATAAAATCTTTTGTCTACAGGTAGATCTGAAACATATGAAGCAAGAGGGTGGTAGCAATCTGGTTGAAATCGGCATAGATCTCAGCGATTTTTATTTATCAGTGGAATGGGATATTCTTGAAGTACCAGCAGCACGCAACGAAGAATATTATCCATGTTGCGAGGAACCTTATTCAGGTATATATGTGCAAAGAATTAATAATATTTTAAATTTTATACAAAGTAAAATTAGGTCATTTTAATTATTTCCATTAATAATAGAGCGAAAATTAAATTTTCATTTAATTTTATCATGGATAACTTGATACAAATAATATTTATTGTCGTTTAATTATAGATATCACATTCAATATTACGATGAGAAGAAAAACTCTATTTTATACTGTTAATCTTATTATCCCATGCGTTGGCATCACGTTTTTAACGGTGTTGGTTTTTTATTTGCCCAGCGATTCTGGTGAAAAGGCAAGTATTTTATCTTTCGAATTTTAGAATTATTAAAGAATCGCGAAAGTTTATTTTGTTTTGGAAGTTTGTTACACCGAGTTGTAATCTCTGTTAACGTATTTTGACATAGATAACGAACGAAAATATAACACGTCAACGAAGTAGCCACGAATTTTATAGTAAATATTTTTTGACAGGAAATGCTTAATTCTATTTTATTATATAATTGTCATAATTGCTTCGTATTATTACGCAGGTATCATTGTGTTCTTCCATTCTTCTCTCATTGACGGTGTTCTTCTTGCTATTAGCCGAGATTATTCCCCCAACATCGTTGGCTATACCTTTACTTGGAAAATATCTATTGTTCACCATGATTTTAGTTACTCTATCCATTTGGATTACAGTGTGCGTCTTAAATGTACATTTCCGGTAAGTTACGCATGTGTACGTGTATATATGTGTGTGTGTATATAATAAAGTCATAATATATGAAAATAAATACAATTGCATGTTAAAATTCGTTACTTTATAATTATGAATGCCTTTAATGAATTAAATAATGTAGATCGCCTTCTACGCATAATATGTCGCCGTGGGTGAGACAAGTGTTTCTAAATTGGATGCCGAGAGTATTAATGATGCGTCGCACACCATACTCTACGCCAGAATATGATGATACTTATATGGATAGCGCATATACTAATGAAATAGATTTCAGGTAACAATTTTCCATTAAACATTAATTGAATTTAAAAATGTTTGTAAGTTTATAATAGCCTAAAAATATATTTAACTGTAATTTTTAAAATATCTTTCAATATACATGTATCATTTTTTATTAAGAGAATGTGCTGTTATTAAATTTGATAAGAAAAAAAATATCTTTCATATTTTTTAATATATTATTCCAAAAAATTTAAATATATTATTTTAATATATTATTAAAAAAATAACATATATTATCATGAAACTACATTGTATAAAGTTATATTGAAAAATTGTATTGGATATAGAATATAGTTATAATAAGAATATATTGCCATTAAAAATAAGAATTTTGCAGCATATTAATTTGAGTTAAAATGCTTCATTTAAGCGTTGACATATTGATTTTAGATGCTTTGCTCGTTTTTAATTCTTTAATTTTCGATAGTGTAAGCGATTATCCTTTGGAATTGAAAGGAAGCCCAGATGCATTCGAAAGCGTCACTTCTACATACAAGAGTATTAGAGATGATGAGGCACGACACGTGCCACATGCATCAGGTAATATATTTTTTGTATTGTGGTTTTTTTATTTATATATTTTAATTCTTAAGAGTATATATTTTAATTCTTAAGAATTTTTTTTTCGTAACATTGTACTATTGGATTACTTTTCTAACATAAAGAGATATTAAATTTATACGAAAATTTAGTCATACTTTTATTACATACAATTTTACATTAAGATATTCGTGAAAATAAAATAATAAAACATCGATTATATATATAATTTCCCAAACATATTGCTTAATGCATTTAAACAATATAATTTGCATTATTAAAGATATAAATGATATAAATCTTAAACGTATTGTTGAGCGACGAGAAAGAAATTAAAGTCTTACAAAAAAATTGATATTGACAATACATTGTTTCAGTTACTGACAGCGAAAATACGATGCCGAAACATTTATCCCCAGATGTCATATCAGCTCTCAAGGGTGTGCGTTTCATTGCTCAACACATAAAAGATGCGGACAAAGATAATGAGGTAAAAAATCCGTTTTTTAACATTCGCATATTTTCGCATCGTCATCATAATTCTCTTATTCACTTTAGCTCGGCTCTTCTCTAAACATTTGTTTTATATGTGATATAGTATATAACTATATATTTTTTACAATGTCTATCAATATATATCTATCATATATCAATATATCTATATAATCATGTATACAATATCGATAGGAGTAATTTTAATTATAAAAAGTCTTGTCACATTTTTAAAGAATCCATCTATGTTCTCACAGGTCATAGAAGATTGGAAATTCGTAGCTATGGTTCTGGACAGATTCTTTCTTTGGGTATTCACTATCGCGTGCATTGGTGGTACATTAGGAATAATAGGTCAAGCTCCTAGTCTGTACGACACCCGACACCCTGTGGACCAACGACTCTCTGGTATATCATTACGCAATTACATGCATCCACCGAATGTAACTTTTAATTTAGAGTAGTTAATTATTATCATGTTAAAGTGATTCGAATGTAAAAAAAATACAGTAACACATCACATCCCTCCATTCAATAGTAACACATTACACTCTTTTAAATACACTTGGCACAACATATACACAGACACTTTCGCTCTCTACATCTACATATATCTGCCAACCAAATTTATCCATATTTCTTAATGAAAATAATTTCTCCATTCTCCTCAAAAAAGCGAAATATTAAATAATCGCCGCAATAAAAACATTTTTCTCCTTTGAGTGAACATAATTGTTATAATATTGTTACATCCCCGCGTCCTTTTATTGCAGATATATTCGCCACCCGTTGAAGTATATCCGCAAAAAAGGGACGCGGGAAGGCAACACTATATTATCAGATATCAGGGTAACACAATCAGTGTAAGGGCAAAATTTATAATACATATGTAAGAAGCTTATAGTGAGCAACTATCCAGTCACATAATTTTTTTCTACTTGAAATCTCCGTTCATATATTAATCATGATACAAAAATTAAATAATGGCATAACTTAAGTCATTGATTAAGGCTTCCAGTCCTTCATAGCTACAATGTTAGATCATGATGCAAAAAATGGCATAATTTCTTCTTCATACTACGTATATCGAAGTAAATTAATTTTGTCAGTATTCCAGATTAGATTTATGAGATATATTTAATGTTTTTTTTTTTTATCATAAATCTCATCGATAAATCTCATCGATAGCTCACTGCATTGATAAATTCAGTATAACTGTAATAAGAGATCAAGAAGATCTTAATTATGATTAAAATAAGTATTTTCAAACATATTTTTCAAACATGTTGAACTTAAATAAATAACAAGCTAATTGGGAATAAGATGATTAAAGCATGAATTTGACAGTTTGATCATGAGAAATTTTATCATGTTTAATAAGTTTTAAAAAAATAAGAATTTTCTCATTTATACATAATCATTATATTTCAAAATAAGAATTATATTATATATTTTTTGTAGTAAAATTAGATTCAATTTTTAGTTTGCCGACAGTGAAAGTGATTAAAAGATGATTTGTATTTATCATTATACATAATGTTATATTAAAATTAACAAAAATAAAAATCTTATGCATTTTGAATTCCCTCAAAAGCAATTAAATAAATATAAATGCATGAAATATCGATTAAATTTCAATTAGGTTTAATAATAAATAAAAAAGGAAAGCTTGAGCTCTTCATAAAAAAAATAATTTTGATAAAAACTGTAGTATGTGTAATATCACACAATTGTTTATTCTAAATCAATTATCATGTATTCTGGTGATTCGCTCGTACTACTAATAGAGCTAGTCTGTGGTTTCTTAGGCGATGAAATACCACTAGCTGGTTTCTTTGTACTTTGAGTCGGTGTGTTATCTTCATCATCATCATCACTATCTGATATCAAATCAATAATAACAGCGCGCTTCTTCTCTTTTGGTGCTGGAGTAGTAGGATTACTTTCATCTAAATAAATAAAATATTACATTACTTGCAATACTGATTATTCAACAAAAATATTTCAAGTAACTTGAATTAAATTAGAGAAATCTCAAATTTAATAATTAATAAATCTTTTTAGCTTTTCGTTCACAAGATATTAGGTCTCTAAAATTTGTGTTATTATTATACATTATCTTATATATTATCTTATATATTTTCTCTTACCTAAATCCACAGTGTCTACATCAATTTTATTATCCCGCGAATCAGCTGGTTCTTTTGTTTCAGTTTTCTCCTTATCTTTCTCTTTCTTCAACACTAAGTTCTCCCACGAACCGTCTTGTAACAACTGAATCTCATTTACGTCTGGCAGTAACTTATTTGAATTAAGAACTTCCTGGAAATATCCGTCAATCACGAGAGTATCATAGAGCGCTGGCTTGTCACAAACCGGACAATTCCAAGTAGGCTTCCGTTCGTTCATTTGAAGAAACAGAGAAGCATCGAAACATTGCAAATGTGAACACGTTGATGCGCGACACGGCGTACACATCCTCATCTTTCCTAAAGGGCAAGCTAATGATACTCTTAACGACGTAGTAGCTATTTCGCTATCTGCATCTTCATTTAATTTCTCCTTAACTGTAAAATAATTTATAATTATTTTCGTAATAATAATTTATCTAGCAATTCTAATAGTGGTTATAATCGTAAATTGCTTACTTAATCCTCTAGTATAATCAGATTGCCTTGGGCCTCTGTTTTTTAATCTAATGAGTAATTCTGCGCTGGTTAATTTTTTAACGAGATACACCGCGATTGCGTATCGTCTACCATAATCAGCCGACCATGTAACGCGGATTTCGTTCCCGACTGTAGGAGACAGTTTTACCAAAGGGCTGATATTGACAGGACGTGGTGGTCTCTTCGGTTCTACACTTGGTTTATTAGTAGGTATAGGATTCTGAAAGAGTTACAACTCTTGACATTATTTTCTATGAATGATTTATCAGATTATTTAAATATTACTCAAAAAAATATTTAATATTTCACATTTTTGCATATTATAGCATTTATATATAGAAATTTGAAAGACATGTATAAATTTAACTTACAGGTAAGGGACATAGTTTTCCATTCACTTTTACTCCAATATTTGGCGGAAAATAATCTTCCTGCTCGCATGATGTTTCTTGTAAACAAAATCGCATTTGTACCTAAATGAAACATAAATTGTACTTGACCTTGATAAAAACATGAAAAGATACTACTAAATATATCTTAAATTTTTATGCACACATTCTTTTTTTTCAACAATTTAAAGGATATATTTCACATGCGAAGTTATCAACATACTTGTACAACATAATCCATTTTACTACCAGTACGACAGTCGCGAGAGCTGGCAATATCAGTTGCTTGTTGCGGAGTCAAATGAAATAAGAATGTATTTTCTTGTATTCTCATAGATCCTTGTGGCATTAAACTAGAAGGTTTCAATAATTCGCCTAATAAGTCGAAAAATGGAAGTTTTTTCAGTCTAACATCTGGATGAACCGGATATTGGCTCGTAGGTTGTATTTGTAATGGTGTTGGTAAGACTTTAGTGGGGTATGGATATGGATTATATCCTGTATTTGCAGTACGCTGAAAAAAAAAAATTAAAAATATTTTTCTAATGTATTCTGTAATCTATTATTTCAATAATTCATACATACACGCACGCACACACACATCGCACGATGAAAAATTATAACATCTACTATCTATTTTTATTCTTTATCATTCACGTAAATTATATATTAAAAATTATTAATTAAAATCAAAAAAGTTATTATGTTGAATCATAATGTTAATAACATAAAAGAAAAATAAAATTAGGTATATTTAAAATAAATTTAATTACTAATTAATCGAAAAATTTATTAAAAAAATATTTAATAAGTTAAGCACTTAGAAAAGTTTGAAGTTTCTCCCGACTGCTCTTGTAAAATATGCAATTATAGTATAAAGTAATTCATCTCTCTTTATTGAATTATAAAATTTTAATCCTTTCTAAAAAAAAATCTTCATATAGTGCTGGATATAGACGAGAAATTTAAATAAATAATCAAGTATTTATGTCATTTTAAAATATACTTTATTTAATAATTCTAATTATATATAATTATATTAATACTTATGGATGAATATTATTTCAAACTTTTCTAAGCTTTTAACTCTTCTTATATTTATTACATTTTATTAATATTATAATATTTTTACATAACAACTTCTTTGGATGTTTTAATTACATAATTTTTTATTACATTTTTATTACATAATTTTAAAATTTATCTTTTTAATTTTTTATTTTTACTTTTTATATTTTTTATTGTTACATGTACTTGTTTATTTTAATTAAATTAAATTTTAAATTATTGTTGGCAGCAGTCGGGAGTTTTTTCAAAAAAACTTTTATTTCAATTTTTTTAAAAGCTACATATTTTTTTACCGTATTATTGCATAAATTATGTAACAATTGCTTTCTTGCTATGTCTGATGTCTGTTCGTTGCTTGATGTAGAATTACTTGCTGTTGATTCTTGTTTTCTATTTCGACTGCGTATTGCGTTCTTTGTTGCTTTACTTTTTCGTCCAATATCTGGTTTTTTTCTCCTCCTTTTTCGTGATACCTGAAAAAGACTTAATATATACAATATCAAACTAATTTCATATAAATAATTGTATTATATATAAGTATATAAATAATAATACATTTTATAATTTATAAAATATAAAAAAGTGCACTTCAACAAAAAAGAAATTACACAAAAAAATATTACACAATAAGAAAAACAAAGACAAAAAGATGTAAAAGAAATAAATGTATATTATTGTTAAATTTATTGAGGCTCATTCCATGCCAATTTTGCATATTTCTATTTACATCACTTTTCTTAACTGTATGATATAAATTTCTTGATTTATCTTTTATCCTTTATTTTTTATTGTGACTATAATCTTAATGCATTTTTTTATTATTAAATCCATTAATATTAATTCAATTAGTTCCTGTTTGTTGTCTTCACAAACAGTAATATGGAACACTGCTGCCAGTATGCAGATTAAGAGTGTGACACTTCTGCCGATATATATATATTGAGTGGATATATTATTCTCCTTTTTGTCTTCATGTTTCTTCATTCTTCTACACATGTGCACAAGTTTTAATTACTATTATTATTATTATATAATACATGATATATATTACATAATAATAAAAAATATAAGTCATTATATACTTACATTTTACTATGCAACTTCATTACTATGCATCTTGTTTCAAATATAAATAAATAAATGAATATACATGTATGTATGTATGTATGTATATATGCATGTATATATGTATGTATATATGCATATATATATATATATATATATATATATATATATTTTGAATGTGTGTAGGTATATACGTTAAATAAATATACAATTACATATATGTGTGTGTGTGTGTGTGGGTGGGTGGATGGGAGGGGGTATGGTGTGGTGTGGTGTGCTTATATAATTTTAATGTATATAAATAATTAGCATTAATAAATAATATTATGTAGAGATAGAGAAATAGACTCACCTGTTAAAAAACATTTATACTTTCTTGAAATGTCCATAGGTAATTTTAACACTTCTTTCTAACACTTTAATTAATTGTAACACTTAATTGTAACACTTTTTAACACGATAACATGTATGGGACAAATTATGCCTAACATATTATACTGTTTGCTATTTCAAAATGTCTTAAATGTCAAATCCAATTATGTTAAAATTTCTTATACGATTGCTTACACCAATCTCATTGGTGAATCAATTTGCTTCTTAAATTCATTCAGCAACCAATGAAAAAATGTATATGAAAAAGATTGTTTTTCCGTTTCTAAACGGAATAAATAATAATAATTATATATGTTCAATATATTAAGCCTGATTAATAAGAAAGTTATGAATAAAAAATTGATCAATGTTGGATTTATCGAAAGTTAAATAAAAACTGCAAATTAAATATCCAACCTCGATAAAATATATACTCTCTCTGTTTTTTTTGCCAACCAACGATTAACAGCACTTGGAGATAAAATGTTTAATTTTTTATGCATAATAATATGCATATAAAGTGCTCACCTGCGGTGTTACATTGGTATAACCACTTGTCGGATATACTGGAGTGGTCCTGGGTGCTTGAGGCATAGATGCTTGATGAGCCGGAGGTAACTCTTTCCCAGCAGAAACAGATGCCTGTTGCTGTTGTTGTTGACTAATCGCTTGTCTAAAATATATATATTTTTGTTTAAATATTATTATTTTTAAGCATATATACAAAATATGCATCAAGTTATATATTTGATTATTGAAATTATGTATTTACCTTGTCGAATAATAATTTCTGTTATGCATATTTTGGTCGATTTGTGACTCGGTGGAATTACCAGTTTGACTATACATTTGATGCGCTGCCATTTGATCCGCTCTATGGAAAATATTTCTTTTTAGATTTAAGATGACAAAAAAACTTAAAAAAAAATGTATCCTCCCTCAATGTAGCAATCAAGCTTTTCTCATCTTACTTATTGCATCAATTTTATAAAACCAACTGATGCGATGATATATACATAATTTGAAGACTAATCGGATATTTTCTACAGACACTTCACTGAGACAGTTTAGATATTTAGACTTTCACTTACTGTATTGTCTTATACAATTCACGTATCTTTAATCGAATAGCTGGATGCGATCTTAAGCGTAATAATTCCAACGCACGCCCTTGTAATTCGTTCTTCCTGCCAGATTTATTTCTACCAGCAAAACCAAGAAGCATCTGAAGCTCAGATACTCGAAAACTTAATACCATATTCTGTAATGAAAACATTGCCGTATATATCCCATCAATGAAGTCTCCAGGATAATCTTCATATAGATAATGAATCAAAGGAACTATATACATGATGCATATACAAAAATATTACTACCTATCAAAACATAGTGCTTCTCTAACAAAGATTCTGGCAGTGCGATATTGCGAGGAGGAATTATTTTCTTCCATTTAAAAGAACCCCAATCGCACAGAGAGACACATAATCCCATTGCAACATTCGATTCATTTACTTGAATATATTTATAAAGCCAATCGCCAGTGTCACATGGATGACATGGCAACACGTGATATTTCGATCAACTGCGGTTCGTCAGTCGCCACGGTGCGAAACGAAATCCCCGGAAAGTGACGGATCCTCTCAATCCACCGATGCATCGATCGCGGGAGTGCAACGTCGGGACGAACAATAACAGCGGAGTTTCGGAGCAGGACGATCAAGTGTTAGGTTACCCATGTAGATTTTCACGAACGAGGGCCAGCGATCGCTCGCATTCTCATCGCGCGATCTGCGGGAAGGGGTAGCTCGACGCTGCGATTTACCAATAATGTTTGTCCGTTCCGCACGGTTGATCCAGCCCGATGCGCCGTGTAATAATCCCACACCGTGTAGATAGCCGAATCGTACGATAACGCTAGGAAGCACGAGCGCGCCAACGAAACCGAATCGAGCCGACAACGCGTCGACGACGTCGGGGACGTCGCGATCCGCTTCCGATCTCCACTCGAACGCGGTAGACCGCTACCTTATTACGCGTAGTGTCCCGCCACGTGAAGATCGCCCGCCACGGTGTGACATTCGACCCGGAAATGAACGTGACAATAGGCGATGCGACGCGACACGACGCGACGCGACGCGATGCGATGCGACCCGATACGAATAATTCGTGCGCGACGCTCGTTGTTTACAACGCGCACTCACTCACCTCCAGTTCCTCGGAATCCGCCATCTTCCTGGTCGACTTTTTTCCCGCAGCCGTTTTGTCGATTAGTTATTTCAACGCTCGGGGCTAAAGCAGATATGTGCACGCGTGATCGCCGCCGCCGCAGAGTCGTTACGCCCGCCGGCCTCCTCTCGCATCCGCTCTCTTACGTTTCTCGCTCTCTTTCTCTTTTACTCCTCTCTCTCTCTCTCACTCTCTCTCTCTCTCGCGCGCGAATCGTGCAACGCTTCTTTTCCGCGAGAATATCGCGACGATACGAAACGTATTTTTTTTGTTCGCTAGCCGGTAATACCTCAAATGGTGATGTATCTCATAATAGAAAAAAACAACAAATTCAAAACGATAGCGCGCGACGACACGCGACGAGTATCGACATTTGACACTTGCCGTTTGAAAAAGAGTAATTTTCCAAAATGGCGCTGACGTTGCGTATATATAGTATATATATTTTTGTATGTATATTGTATATTTAATCCGAAGAAAGAAAACATTACGCTCTTGTCCTGTCTAACACAGGATTGTACGAAGAGTAAAGAAAACAATCCTATATCTCGCCCCTCGTAATCTAACCTTCACATACGAGACATTTGACGTTACAACATCTGATTCGACACGTGAAAATTCAAATAGCGTCGCGTGTCTAGATATTCGTGCATCGTGATTATGTGAAACCGGAAGTTGTGATCGCAAATTTATATATAAGGAGAAGCGGTCGCTAGGAGAAACATCTTGTTTTTTTTTTTTTTTTTTTTTTTTTAATATCTGTCCTTTAATTTTGCCGTTAGCTGTCACATAAAAATGTTCGCTTTTTTATAGTTGCTTTCATTTTGACGTTGTAAATGATAAAAGCATTTAATTGAGAATTAGAATAAAGAAATCTTTGCACCTATTGGTTAATCCAATAAATGCTCTCAGCATTTACAAAGCGTTAGATTGACCAATCGGTGCGAAAATTTCTTTATCCTGATTGGTCATTCAAGTGAGAGAAAGAGCGACCGAGATAGTTGGTTGTGTAGTATCTTCCTCTCATTCTAGTTTGCTCTTTTTTTAATCATTTTATGTAATTACTTTTTTCACTCAATTAAAGAAAGGATTCTACTATATAAACGTATCAAACACATTTATTTTTCTCGTTAATATGAAGCAATAAATATATTCTTCTTAAATTTAATCAGAAAAATTAATGTAACTAAATAAAAATGTAACTAATAGATGAGATATATTATAATTAAAGAATATTTTTTACTTTACATATCAGGTATTCTTCCCGATATCGCACATCCACTTTGAACTTATAAATAATAGGAGACATATATTTTTTCTAGGTCAATCCAGATTTACGATGCAAAAAAGAATAAAACAAATCAAAATATAACTGGGAAATGTAATTGATGAACATTTTTAATTTATTTTGTACTTGTCAAACATCGAATATGCTTTAGAGACTTACAAATCTTATCTACAGTTATCTAATAACGAAATTGTTTTTCATTGTATCGAAGTTTTATCTCTTTCTGTATCTTATTTCTCACACCATCTTCCAATTTTATTTCCTGTTTTATCAAAACGACATTTTATACGATAAAATATTTTATGTTCCCCGATAACGATAGTTTATATGTAGTGTGTGAGAGATGTATAATACAATTCAATATATCTTACTATTTTTTTTGCATTTTTGATCGATATGAAGATTTTTTGAATCGACTTTATATTATCTTCTAATGCTCTCGAAAAATTTTTTCTCCTTTTATATTCGCATTTTGCATATTCTAGTTGTTCATATTTTTCCTTTACACACAAAGTCTTTACTTGATATATAAAAAAATTAAAATGCACATTTTGAAAAAAAAGACATCAGCTTATTCTATCATACGTATTAACATCACATATTAATTAATAGCAAACGTTCTCTTATAAGATTCTTAATAAAACAATTGATTAAAACTGAAGATGTATTTATAATCCATTTTTAGTGTGTGTATATATATATATATATATATATATATATATATATATATACACACACTAAAAATGGATTATAAATACATCTTCAGTTTTAATCAATTGTTTTATTAAGAATCTTATAAGAGAACGTTTGCTATTAATTAATATGTGATGTTAATATGTGATGTTATTTCATATATTATTTCGAATGTAATTACTTTTACGCACCTTGTTTGACATTCACAATTCTTCGAATTATCAGAAAAATAACTTATCGTTGATTAAATCGCGATTCTATCCTCAAATCATATCTTGTTTACTACTTTCTCTATTACAAGAGTTTTATTTGAGACGTACTTGACTTCATAATTTCAATATCTTCAAATCTTATTTTTTTATCAAATTTTAATTTTATTTTTGAAAAACAAGAAGAACATTTTGTGCTCATATATATGTCAATCAAATGCATCATACCTACTTCAGGCTTGAAAATGTTGTTTGTACATTTTCTTGGACTTTTACTGAAATTGCTATTTTGAATTGATTACAGTATGTAATCCTAGCTTACGCAAATTTTAAAACGCAATTTGTCATATATTTATAAATCAATAATTATTATTAATAAAATACGATTTAATCCTCTTTATTTTATCTTCTTTAAAAGATAGAAAAGATATTAAGGAAAAGAAAAGAGATTAAGGAAAAGATATTAGGGAAAAGATATTAAGGAAAAGAAAAGAGAGAAAATTTAAACTCAATATTCATTTATAAAATTAAATTTCTCAATATTTTATATGTGGATCACATATTTATATAAATTTTATCTTATTTTATATAAATCACACACATTTCATCTCATTAATAATTTGCTAATATATATTTAGCACATTTAAGCGATTAATAGAGCGATTAATAGATTGGATGGCTCGAATTACATCGGAAAATAGAAAAAATGCTTCGTAGATAATAAGGAAAATGAATCGTTGACAAAAAGTTAAGAGATAGAATTATAAAAACTATTGATATTATAATTAGAGATAGACTGTCACGAATCATACAATAATTGTTAAGAAATAAGATAGAAAACTGATGTCGGTATGATTTCTTATATCGGTTTTTTGTTTGACTGATGAATAGCGAGACTCTTCTCCTGATAAGTTTTATATCACTACATCTCATTGTCAGGGAATCGAAATATTCTTTGTATGTATGAAATATTTGCAAATTAACGAATGTATTTAGAAACAAAATGATACATTTTCGCGATGATTGGAAATTGGATGATTGATGGAGAGAGGTAATAATTTTAATATTAATAAATTTTTAATTTAAAACTTTTATATTCGTATACATCTGTGATTTATAATCTGTGATAATAATAATATAAAATTCCGTAATACATATTCACTACAGCATTACAATTACATATATATAATATGCACAATGACATACTTTTGCTACAGATTAAGTGAGAATTTTTTAATCCTTACATAAATCTTATATCTGAATTGAAAGTTTAACCATTTGTATATTCATGATATGGTATCAGAGGATCGATTTGATAATAAAATTTTAGGAAACAATTGTTAGATTATATATACATATACACATCAGATTTATTAAAATATCTTAGCAAAAAATAATACGTTCCTACAATATAGTAACACATTTCTAATAAGCATTACAATTCATTCTTCGTACTCTATTTTCGTTACTATTAGCTTCTTACTTTTAGCTTCTCTTCTTACTCTTCAAAATGATTAGTTATTTAGATAACCAGTCGTCCCAGGTATTTTGACATTTGGGACTCACTTTTTTCGCTTCTTCGCATACCTGATTCACGTAATCAAAATATTTGCCCCAAGCGCAAATTTGTAGTTGCTTCTTCTCGTCTATGCACTCGTAATACAATCTGCAGTCACATTCGTGACGCCATAATGTCGGGACACCTTCTGGACAGTCGCCAGGTTCTCCTGGTGGTGTGGGTGTGGGTGTAGGTGTAGGTGTAGGTATAGGTGTAGGTGTAAGTGAGTTGCATTCATCATCAACGTCTCCCTTTATACATTTCTGTTCTGTCGGGCTAAAATGTTGACCTTTCTTACACTCCTGAGCGATCCATTCTTTATTTTTGCATGCGTAATATTTTTCACAGTAACACTCGTGTTTCTTCTTTTCGCCTTTTGTACACGTTTTGCTATCTGTCGCACAAGTGCCTTTTACGCATTGCGACAAATCTGTATCAAAGTAGTATCCTGCCTTACATTCTTGCAAGGCCTTCAGACCGTTTTTACATAAGTAGTATTTATTACATTGGCATTCGTGATTGATAAGGTCACCGTCTTTACATTCGGTTCCTACTGCCTTGCAATTTTTCCCTGGAATGCAAGTTTGTCTATCCTTGTCAAAAAATTGTCCGAGCGGACAATCGCGCAGAGCCTTTTTTTTATTTTTGCATTCGTAAAATTTAGTACATTGGCACTCGTGCGGAAGTAAGTCGCCATTGTTAACACAAGTGGTTTCATCCCCGGGGTTATCCCCGGGATTATCCCCGGGGTTATCCCCGGGATTATCCCCAGGGTTATCCCCGGGGTCATCCCCGGAGTTTTTGCACTCCGAGTTTTCGGGCTTAACACAACCTTGCCATTTGTTACTAAAGTATAAGCCAGTCTTACACTCTTTCAAGTTCTTTTCTTGATTTTTGCATTCGTAATAGTGACTGCAATCCTTTTCGTAATATATCAGTTTTGGCGGGCAAGGGTCTGCCGCCGGACATTCGTTCTCTGCTTCAAAAGTAGAAGATTCATTTCCGGCGATCACATACGCGGCGGCCTGAGATGCCAGGAAGACAATGGCGATTAAGTATATTTCTGTGCCGAACAAAAAATATTGGGATCAAATTGACTGTTACAAGTGAAAAAAATCTATTATTTACATATAAAATTCGGATTCGTGCAAAAAAAATCTTGAGAAGTATCTCAATCAATTTTTCATAATCTTATTCTAGAAATTTAAGCATACTCACCCTTCATCGCCCTGTCACTTGCTTTACTCGTTCTTGAAAAAAAGAGAATATCGTATCGTATATAAATATATCCTATTAACACTTCACTGTGATTTGTTTATACATAACTGTCCGAATTAAGACGTACCGCTTTTATAAATATGCATGGCGTTATCGCAAAATACAAGGACAGATTATCATATCTGTTAAAAAAGATTAGCAGAACTGTACTTATTTTTTATGGAACTCTAAATACATTTTCTCGAATTCTCATATAAGTTTGCATAGGTTCACAGAAAAAATCTATCATGTGTTTTTATAATAAAGATATAATACAATATTTATTTTTGAATTAATAATAATAAATGTAACACGTTTCATACACAAATAAATTATTAATTTAAAAAATTTGTATAAATATTTTATAAAAGAATTATAATTTATACAAACATTTTCATATAACATAACATTTAAAAAATATTTTCTTTATTTCCTTTATTGATTTGTACAATAATATAATTAATTTAAATCGCAAACTTTACTATAATTTTGTGATTTATCGAAATTTTTGAACTTGCAAGACATTCTAACGTCTAGTAGCATTCAACTAATGCTTATAAAATATACGATCTTGATTGAAAATGTATTCTTTTTTTGAAGAAAGGATTATCAGTCTTATTACACCGAAAAAGATACATTGCACAATAAACAATCTTTTCGTAATAATCATAAATTGATAAGTTTATGAAACATGAGAAAAGGAAAATTGAAATTATATTCATATCTTATTTCATCCTCTGTTCTTATCATTAAATTTGATTTTTTTCAATCAAGACAAGAGAAAAAATATTATATATTTTCATCGTAATTAAAAAATATAAATAATGCATATATTAATTTTATATTAATTTTCGTATTACAAATGAATTTTGATTTAAATAGTAATCGCGATAAAATATTTTATCATTAAGTCCTTTCAGATACGGTAAATCCATAATGTGAAATATAATAATTCGCAATAGTTCATTTATCGAAGAATTCATCGACTCATGACCGATGACAAAAGATGATAATAGTAGAAAGATTAAAATATTAATTCATGATTTGGTTATAATATCATATCTAGGAGAAATCACAATTATACAATTGTGTATATCAAAAAAGTAAAGACTTTTTAAATGAAATACTCGTGCATAAATAGTTTCTAGTTCTTTTCAGTTCATTTTATTTTTTAATTCTTATGATAAAACAACATAAGATTTTTGCTAAATAGCATTAAATAGACGATTTTAAGATTTGTTAAAATCAAAACTATTAGATAAATTTGTTAAAAATATTTTAACTTGTAGCAGATTATTTATTTATTATTTGTTAGATTTATTTTGTGTTAAATTCGTAATAAAATTCGCTTGTTAGATTTGTAACAAATTTATTTTCATTTATAATTATTAAAAAACTTATTATTATAGACAAAGATAAATTCATCATATATAATTACCGAAAAAATTTTCAGAGATATGTATTATATTGAAACTTTTATTTCAAAACAGAAAAAGAAAAAATGACCAATATTTCTTTAATATATTGTATTTTTCTTTGGCTTAAATTATATATACATAGGAATATACTACAGAAAAAAAATATTGTTATTATAAGCATATTATTTCTTATCGAAACTTATTCTACCAATAAAGTATTTTATCAATAAGGAGCTAAAGTCCGAATTTGATATAATCTTATCAAAGTGAAAACCTTGAGATCTTATTTTGACAATATCTCGATTCATTGTTACGATATTATCAAGAGAGTATAATATGCATTGATATAACATATAATAACCAATAAATATTAGAAAAGATTAAGTGTTTAGCAAAAATAATTAATAAAATAAAATGAAATAACTCATTAAAAATATATATATATATATTTTTTTTTTATAAATGTATACAATATATATATTTAATGTATTACACATCTTCTGAATTTTTTAAATAATGTAATATTGTGTAATATTATGTAATAATGTAATATTTCGAAACTTGATTAAATTCATTTAAGTTTTTAGTCACAAATTAAATGCTCATCTCACTGAATAAGACAAAGAGAAAGACAGAAAATAGAAAAAGACAGACAGTGAAATCTTCATCGTCTAAGTTGATTATATTTAAGCGTTGCCATCAATTAATCATTATCATTAAGAACTACAGTGGCGTGATCAGTTATGGAAGAATAAGAAATCACGTATGTAGCGAACATGAATGGTTTATACTGAATTGATTTTGTATAATCAACCTATCGACGATGTTTGATTGATTGTTAAATTATCATTTAACATTATCTTGCTACACAAAAATAAAATATCTCATAAAACGGATATGTGTTTTTCGTTCAACTGCAAATTTAACATATATTTATATATAAAATACGAAAAGATTGATAAAAAGAATATATCTTTACATCAAAAAAATAATGGTAATTAAAAGAATATATCTGGTAATAAATATCTGGTAATGATAATAAAAAGAATATATCTTTACATCAAAAAAATAATGGTAATTAAATTTTAGAAATAGCATCAAAATAAATACAGTATTCCGATGATTTTATACATGTACGATGATTTTATACATGTACGATTAGCATGTTTCATTAATATATAAATTAATATTTTTTTATCTTTAATTTAAAATTTAAATTTAATATATATTTTGTTTAAAAATGAATCATACTATACAGATGACTAATAACCTGTTATACAAGCCATTATCTCAATGACTAATCAAGATAACTAAAAGATTTTTGATAACGACTTAAAGTAAGAAAGAATGAATAATTTGTGATAAGATTTTGTTTAAAAGAGTAAAAATAAATTTTTTAAATTTTTTAAAATTTTAAAGTTTTTAAGCTTCTTTTATTAAACAATATATGTTCTTTTTTTAATGAAACTGTATAGGAAATGTCCGAATAAGTAACATATTTTTTAAAAATTGCGTAATAAAAGTACAATAAATAAATAGTTTATAAAAAAATAAATTCTAATACATTTGCGTAAGCAAGAATAGAAGAAAAATTTCTTATATGATTTTTCTTTTCTTTCTCTCTCTTTTTCATTTTCTTTTATTTTCTTTTATTTTCTATCTTGTCTTGATGGAAAAGCATAGAAAAACATACACATATATTATATAATATCTATAAATGTTATTAATAATATTTTTTTTCTTATTTGATATTAAATTTTATTTTGCTTATATGCAGAATTTAACCCTAAACGTAAATAAAAAAAATTGACATCAAGTAAAAAAAAAATTAACGTAGGAAATAAAAATTTTCTACGATTCATAGTTTTGAGATTTATATTAAGAGAGAGACAAAGCTACTCTTGACTTGTAGCTATTTCTCTCGAATCATATTTCAAGCGCCAATGCGTCTTACAATTATCAAAATTCAACATTTGTACTTTTAAATATATTCTGCAACATATTATATACATGATTTTCGTTATGAATATTATATAGTTACATATATATAATAATATTATTATATTCCCTTTACGTCAGAACCTAGATCTCTCTTGCCGATATTGTCGTCCAATGCACATCTATATATTCTTAAGTCCATGGCTGTTCGATTCCGGAGAATTTCTCGACATACACAACACATCATACACATACGTATCTATGACAATTTAAAAACATGGCTACCATGTGAAAAATGGATTGGTTGATTTGTACTGTTTGCACACTGTAAACAACTTTCTATTTAGTTTATCACGCTAGTTTTGTGTTTTGCGTTGTCGTCTAGACGAGTCTACGACTCGTAGAAACATTTCTAATAGACTGGATTTGAATCGAGGGACCCAAACTCCAAGTAATTCTCAGGAGTGAAAGCCGCGCGAATTCGCACAGATTCCACTTCCCATAAGCGATTAATTATTCCGTTCTCTTTTATTATCTGGAAAAATTTGCTACAAAACCAAGGTATATTGCAAATTTATGCAAAATCTTTTCTAATTTTAATGACATCGTCAACCTTTTGATTATGATTAAAATCTTTAATTATATATAACTGTGTTGCAGATGCAATTAAAAGAATTTTAAGGACTGTGAGGATTTGTAAGTTTTATCGTTTGCAAGAATATAGATCTTTGATAAACATCCACATGGATTTTTTAAACTTTAATACTATTGTACATCCAAGAACCATCATCCACTTGGATGTTGACTGTTACTATGCTCAGGTAGAAATGCTTAGACATCCGGAATATGAAGGAAAACCATTAGGTGTTCAGCAAAAAAGTATAGTGGTCACTAGTAATTATCTGGCAAGAGAATATGGAATAAAAAAATGTATGTCAGTTCAAGAAGCTTTACGTCTCTGTCCAGAACTGGTCCTGGTAAATGGTGAAGATTTAACATCTTATCGTCTTTATTCAACTAAGGTATTTGAAATTCTGCAACAGTTTACGCCATTAGTGGAAAGATTGGGCTTTGACGACTATTTTCTTGAAATAAAATCAGTGGAAAAACAGCTCAAGTCTCAGAATGATTCAGAATTTGATATGAACAATTTGCATACAGATGAGGAGCTAAAAGAATCAGATAGTAAGATATTTGGACCTTCGGATGAGGAATGTCCATGCGATTGTCATACACGCTTAATGATTGGCGCTAAGATAGCAGCTGGAATAAGGAATCGTATTTATGAAGAACTGCATCTTACTTGCAGCGCTGGAATAGCGCATAATAAGCTTTTAGCCAAATTGGCAGGATCGCTAAATAAACCAAATCAGCAGACATTGGTATTTCCATGTAGCGGTCCAATGTTGCTCTCTGCAATTGGCTCTATATCCAAGATACCTGGTGTTGGACAAAAAACTATGGAATTATTGTTATCAAATAATATAAAAACAGTGGACGATGTACGCAAAATACCTTTGGAAAATCTGGAACTAAAAATTGGCGTTGATTTAGCAAGAAGATTGAAAGATAATGCAGAAGGGATTGATGAGACAGTGGTAAAACCATCTGGAAAGAAACAATCTATAGGGCTGGAGGATGGATTTAAAAGTGTATCGCTAGTGGCTGAGGTAGAGTCACGATTAGGCGCACTATTGAGGAGATTAACAGAATTGGCGATGGAAGATGGTAGAATTCCCATTGCTATGAGAATAACAGTGCGGAAGCACGATATGAACAAACCTACTTCTGGTAAGAGAGAGACCAGACAATGCGCGCTGCCGAAACATCTTTTACCGTCCACAAAAACCGGCATGTACGATCATAATAAAATGTTGATACTCGCCATGAAATTATTCCATCGAATAGTTGACGTTTCCAAGCCATTCCACTTAACGTTGCTGGGAGTTGCATTTACTAAGTTTGAGGAGAGATCATATGGCAGGAGTAGCATTACATCCTTTTTACGCAAACAGGTCGCCGTCCATTCCGTTTTAGATATCAGTTCTGAAGAAGGCATCGCAGAAGTGAATTTGGGATCACCAATGAGTATTAATCAAGATAGTAATGATAGTTCTGATCAATCAGCGACAAACTTGATGAACACTTCTGCATCAAGTCTCTCATGCTCACCAATTTCAAAATTGTCAAATGTAGCAAGCAGTCAGAATATAGAGGATGACCTGCAAAATGAGGTAGAACCATTACCGAAGAAAACCAAACTAGAAGTGTGGTTGAGCGGTCGTCGAGAATCGCCGAGTAACGAAATGGCTGGTCTTAGACTAAGCCCGTCATCGCCCATGCAAGTATCACCTTCTGTGGATACTGCAGTTTTTAAAACTCTGCCTATTGAGAGGAGAGATGTCACGCGTTCTTGGCCAACAACCAGCAAACCGAAACCAAACAATATACTTAAATATTTCATAGCCAATAAGTGACAGAGCTATGTGACTTAGTATTGAATATCATTGCTCTTATATATGCGCTTGAATTGAACATTAAATGCCAGCACCATGGATGGATATGATCTTTAATTTTCAGTTTTTTTTTTAATGCTAAATTTTAAAATATATAAAACGAGAAAATAGTGTTACATGATATAAAACTCTTACACAGAAGTTTTCTGTTCTAAGCAACTTGAAGATACTCGCAATGTTCACAAATTTTTGCAGAAGATTTAATATTTTATTTTATTAATAATAGAAAAAAATTATATTATTAACATTTTAATTAAAATCGAAAGATATCGTGCGTTATCGCAGTACGAGATTATTATTTGGAATATTTCTTATTTAATGCTCAAAGTTTACGCCTTGAAGGATTGACATACAAAGAATCATTCCATATAAATTCATTTTTTTTCTCTGACTTTGTCGTGTGTGTTTTATTATTCTAATTTCTTGATCAAAGATCAATTACAAATCTTACACGACAAAAGTTATCTGTGTTCAATTGCATTTAATATATTTTCGTTCATTCTTTTATATATAATATATATACGATTAGAAGATCTCGCACGTGATTAGCGAGACCTAGGTATAATGAGAACATACATGTAGCTTTTTAGCATTAGTTTATATTTTTATTTTCGACGGCAACAATGAAAGGTATTGTGATTACATTTGGGATTATTTTTAATTACAATTATCTTACTAACAGTATGAGAAAAATACTTCGAAAAGCTATTATAAATCATTCTTTAGTTTGTATTTATTCAATATTTTGATTATATTAATTAATAAATAAAAATTTTTTAGTAGATAAACTATCAAGTTATATTCCAGAAAATATTTCAGTTTTGACAATTTTTTCCATTGCTATCATTACTTTCATGCTGTAACATGAAATGCAAACATGTATTATTATATAGGTATGTAATTTCCATATGAATGTAATACATATTAAGACAAATGTTTTTAATTAAGCAAAACTACTATAAAAAGTACATATGTATTTATCTAATTTATACACAACAAGAAGTTAAAAAATGTATTTAAAAAATATTAAGATATGCCTATCGGTTCACACATAAGTAAAATAAGGTGCTGACATTCGATGTTGTGACTCTCTCGATGGATAAATAATTATATAAATTAACATTCTAAGAAAAAAATTCTATTTTAGTACTGTTATAAATGTTATCTCATAATTAAGGATCGAAATCGATATAATTTCGGCGAACTTAGTTTTTCATACTGCAGTTACACGAGACATATTCAGCTGTCATTTCTATCATCGCGAGTAAAAACGAAATTTGCAGTGTCGAAATCTAAAGTTCACGATTAATGAAAAATATCGTTTTCAATACCTGCTTGTAATATATATGCATCGGATATCGAGGAACATGGAGAGAAATATATTCAGTTATTCCCGTCAGGACTAACTACTGGCGCGGAGCTTCATTAAAATATATATGTAAATGTATACGTGTAATTCACGCGCAAAAGAGATTTACTAGACAATCATATTTTGATGCCACTTCAATATGGCACACGGTGATTCTCATGTGTATACACAAGTTAAATATATATATTAATATATATCTAATATGTCATAAAAAAACACATTCTTGCTGAGCGCGAGACATGGGACGTCCACAATGAGAGCTGCGATTTTACTCTTCAGATACTTAAAGGATTCTTATTATATACGGATGAACGGATCCGCAGGTGATAAACAATGTAGCTTTTGTATTTGCAAAACAGAATATTCATTAAGATTGCATATGTTGTTTAACAGAAGAGAGCGAGAGAGAATAAGCGATGTAAAAAAATGTCGAACGCGTAGTAACGGGGTCCTACAAAACTTTTCTATTTTTATTTATTTACAACACAAACACACATATTAAAGCGGTGTTGTCTTTATTTTAAACTTCTGGTTGTGAATATGTGCATATTTTATATGGACTTGTTTAGGCGAGAATTATGTAGCGTTGCGAAGAACCGTAAGCTTGTCAGATCGAGCGTAGAATTTCGCATTTGGAATAATAATATTATGCGAGAATATGTTTCAGGTATCTCAATTATACGACGAAGATGATGATTGACACTTTTTCAAGTGACAGCGCAACGCCGCGACTCGCATTACTTTTGCTTTATTTCAATAAAAAAGAAAAAGGTTACATTGTGTTACTTTAGTAATTCTCTATGAACCTATCTTCAAATTTCCTTATGTGATTGTAACATTTATAAAATAATTGCTTGTATAGATATTGATATCTCTTTATGGAAGCTGAAATGTATATACAATTTTATTTAATTTTTTGCCTCTAAATGTTTGTATCGTATTAAAAATATTTAAAAAAATTTCTTAAAACGCAATAAATATTGAAAAAATATGTGCGTTATCAAACTAGTAAATTTATCAATCGAAAAATATGAGTGAGAATGAAGTAAATTTTTGCAAATATATCTTAAATATCTTTCGCATATCAAATTAAAACTGAAAAACATATATGACCTATGCAAAATGTAAAATTAATATTTTCCACGTTTCCGATATTATAATATTTTTTGTGTTTCCGATATATTTCCATAACATTATAGTTATTATTTTTTTTATATAAACGGAATACAATTTTCTAGAATATTATAATGCTTATAATTTTACATATTTATGCTGGATTCAAATAAATTTTTATAATTAAATATATTTTATATAAATTTTAAATTGTAGGTATATGTATTTTAGTAAAATATTTAATAAAATATATTTCTTTAATGTTTCTTTAACTTAATATTTATATTCTTTCTGCAGAAAATCATTTACGCTACAAATTGAAAATGCAATTTGATTCAAGTCGCGCATAAATTGCGATTGCGTTTTAGCAATGTGCATTTTACTTCTGTTCTGAAGCAATGATAGCAACTATATCCGGTCATTAATTGTCGTGGCTACCGACATATCACCGACATATACCTATCTATCACATTGCACGTGAGATACATTAGAATCCGAACAGATTTGGGGTTTCTTTATCTGACAGTATCTTATCGGACAATATGTGACCTAAATTGAAATATCCGATGACATTTCCTTAATTCATGTTTTTATATAAGAACCATAATAGACGAGCGTTCAGTTGGCATTAAACTTTTGAACTTTACAAAAAGTGAGAAAATAAATTTGTGTTTTAGACTGATAGTGTCTAGCAAAAATGTTGCTGATATTCTGTATCTTGGGTGTTGTTGCAATACATGAATTGTCAGGTAAAAATTTTTGTCAATAAGTTGTTTGTTAAAGAATTAAAAGTATGACATATTATCTTATTCGTTATACATGAGCAATTATTAAATTAAGTTTGCCAATTTTTTATGTTTGTGTAATATAATTTATACTACTAAAGTAATATATATAATATTTATACTACTAAACTTTTTTTATGCATGTGTGTGCTCGATTTATTAAGTAAGAAAATATAGAAAATATAGTTTTAGCGCGAAAAATGATTATTTCTTGAAAAAGAGAGAGAGAAAACTAAAGGGAGAGAGAGAGAGATAATATTTTACATAAAAAAATTTAATGTTGTACAAGTTAAAATTATTCCATATATCAGTAAATAATAAAGATATTTGGAATTTTTTGAAAGGTGTTTCTTCAATGGACACTGACTCTCCCAATCAAATACCAAAAATCGTAGGCGGTAATCTTGCCGCCGAAGGAGAATACCCTTATCAAGCATCGCTTCGTTACCGTAATCAACATTTTTGTGGTGGTTCTGTCATAAAAAAACGATGGATTCTTACAGCTGCTCATTGTTTGTCAGGGTGTGTCATCACGGTTATATAAGTTATTAAGATATTAAAGATATTTTATAGATATTTTATAGACATAATATTTTCATTTTAATAATCTAATTAAGCAACAAGAATTATTTTTACAAGAAAAATTTCTACAAAATTTCGTTGCCGTTAAAATTATAATAGAACATTTATATATTGTCAAAAAACAAATATTTTACTATTAACAATATAAAACTAAGGCAAAATTCCTAATCTCAATATATATATTTATATATATTGAGATTAGGAATTTTGCCTTAGTTTTATATTGTTAATAGTAAAATATTTGTTTTTTGACAATATATAAATGTTCTATTATAATTTTAACGGCAAGGAAATTTTGTAGAAATTTTTCTTGTAAAAATAATTCTTGTTGCTTAATTAGATTATTAAAATGAAAATATTATGTCTATAAAATATCTATAAAATATCTTTAATATCTTAATATATCTTTAATACCTTATATATCTTATATATATATATATATATATATATATATATATATATATATATATAAGTGTGTGATTCTAATATCGTAATTTTTATTTAACAGATTTAATGACACAGCTATCAATGTCGTATTGGGCACAAATACTTTAGATAAAGGTGGCGATGAGTATTCTTCAATCAAGAGATTGGTGCATCCCTACTACAATTCTGCCTTTATCAGAAACGACATCGGATTAATCAAACTGGATAAAGACATTGTCTTTGGAGACAAAGTGAAACCGATTGCTTTGCCCACTCAAAACTTTAATAAAGTTGATTATCCAGCGACGCTGTCCGGTTGGGGTACGACCAGTGTAAGTACACAAGGCTAAATTAATTATGCGTCATATGCTATGACATAGAAAGTGTGGAACATTTTTAATATGTATATATATTAAAAATGCTGTATATATATAACGTATCTATATATAACATTATCTGTCCATTATTTTATATATTCGAAATTTTATATATACTACTCCTGGATTAATCGATAAATTAATACGCTTGATTTGATAATGATTATTTCGTGTGGGTTATTATCAGTATCCCGGGGAAACGCCAAATGAATTGCAACATATCAAACTTACAGTCATCGATCAAAAACAATGCTTAAGTACCAGCTTTCGCGTCAGCAGCAACAATATCTGTACACTCAACAAAAAAGGCGAAGGTGTTTGTCATGTAAGTGCACATTGTAAATCTAGCTTAATTAAAAATTTAATCCTGAATTAAAATACTTTCAACTATGAAAAGATGAACATTTGATATTGGTATGTTTTTACAAACACACACACATATATATATACACACACACGTGTGTGTGTGTGTGTGTATAAACAAAATATAATAATTTTATTAAAATCAAAATATTTAAATGTTAAAAACTTATTTCGAAACAGTGCGATTATTTTTTATGAATTTATATTTTTGAGAAAGCAGAAATTGACATGTCACATATACATACATAAAAGTATAAGAAATTGAAGAACGAATATATAAAAATAATATATTGTTTTACGTAAAAAAGAAGAAAATAGATTTATTTTATATATTACATATATAGGGTGACTCTGGCGGTCCTCTAGTAGCAGATGGTGAGCAAATCGGCGTGGTATCTTGGGGTATACCTTGTGCTAAAGGACGCCCAGATGTATTTACACGAATCTACCATTATATGGATTGGATCGAACAACATCTCAAGGAAGACAATTCTATATAATCGATTATACTAAATGAATTCTGTACAAGTCGTCAGGCCAAAAAATAAGCAGAAAGAGAATTTGAATCAATTAGTTTTCATTTATATAGATATAATATTAATATAATATAAGAGATTATATAATAAGTAGAAAATTAGCTATCTCAAATAATAAAGTCAATAACAATTGTATTTTATTCAAACAAATTCATTTCTGATATAGCGTTTACGATCTTTTTAAAATCACTTGCACATTATCTGTATTCATATCATATATGTACATAATAAATAAATAAATTTAAGCATACATATTTTACATTATTTAATACTATTTGAAGCGTAAAAATAATATGAACAAGTAAATGTTTACTTAAATATTAAATAAAAATTTGTTCATGCAAATAATGAATGATTTTGTAAGCTGCTTTTGTAGGCGATATTTAATATTTAAGAAACATTGTTGGAAACTTCGGCTAAAGTCTGCACGATTGCGACTTTACAACTGCCTGCCGGAAAGACTAAACAAACGTGCTACATTGAATGTATTACGTAAAATTATTATTATTTTTTGCAGTTTCTTAATTTATAATCGCAACAAATCTAATAACTAGAGCGATATTGAATAGTTGACAATTATAAAAATCGAAGAAATGGAATATAATCTTATACATGCGACAATTATGTGATCCAAATTATAATGTTATATATTATAATTATAATATAAATAATTTTAAATTAAATAATATAATAAAATAGAATAATATTAAATGTTTCTAGACTAATTGCTTATTTAATTAAAAGAAAACTGAATTTTTGAAATATGAAAGTTATAATGTTATAAAACTCGTAATAACAGACACACGACAATTGTGCCATAAATTGTTACATTTATTTGTTTCTCTTATATGAATATTACGTACGCGTGAGTGTGACAATGGTAAAGTGACTAGGTAACGCGTGGAAATGAGGCATGAATTCACGATGCATATGTTAAATGATAGTACACGACTAGTAACATGATCTAGATTTTGCAATTACACATAATTGATATTAGCATAATTCCAACAATAGCAGACGTTACGTCGCATCAAGTAGAATTAATTCTTTTAGCTGTGAATATCGTATATAGTATACAACATTTGTAGTAATATAACAAATTTAATTGTCATATGTGTTTCATTTCCTGCAAGAAATTTAGAAAGAAGGATTCGATATCAAATGTTATTTTAATAGAAATTTATATGACACGTAAAATTTTGTTCCAGCAATTATCAATAAATTCTCTTTCTAATGCTTATTAGAACAAGAATGAAAAAAATCGTCATGTTTTTTCAACGAAGAGATTTATAAAAGGATCATTCTTCGCTTTAGCGCGCAAATCATGCGCCGTTTCTTGCGCCTTAACGATCGCCGAATTTAAGGAACTAGTGCGAAGTCCTGGTCGAAGATTTCGGTCAAGCTCCTAATGACCTACTTTCAGCGGCGCATGCTCGACGTGCATGCACAGATGTTTACTTCAAAGGTGAAAACGTCGCAGCACGCAGCCAGGCTGGCAGGTTGTGATTTTTCGCGGAATAAGAAGAAGAAGAAAGAGTGCGCGAGACAACCCGTTCGATCATTTTACAGAAGCGAGATCTCGTGCAGTGAAGAAGGTTGATGCGTGATCGGACGTGTCGCGACGTCTCCTCAAAATTTTGAGGATCTAGGTCTAATAAGGATGCAAATTATTAGAACTATTCGATTGAGCACCATCATGCGTCTCTTTATGATTGATTGTCACCGATGTTTTTCCGCTGCTACGAATGATCGGCTTAAGAAACGTCCACGTTCGTCCTGGGAGTTTAAAAGACGATCATCCATTACGGGATCCTTGGCGGATTGAGGTAGTTCTAAGCAAGTAATCTGATGGATATTTCCACAAAATTTACAATTGACTATTATTCAAAAATACAGATCATAGTTTGAGAAATTGTGCGCTTATTAATGTTATCATATGTTGAAAAATTACTGTCAAGCCATTATACTTATGCTAGATGCTGCAATATTGCAATATTAGATCATCATTATTGTATGTAATTATTTTTGAAAAGATGTTTACTGCAAACAAATAATTAATAATAATCACCAATAATTTGACAATTGAGTGATAAACAATTGCTTGACATTTTTTCCTTAAATTCTTCTTATAAATTTTATTTCTATCTAAAATAAGCGCGAGATGATTGAAATCAGCTGATCAGGATAGATTGGATACGGAAAGATTGTGCTTCCCGAATTACTGCCGACTCCGAATCGTTGCAGATACATCGAATGTCATCTTACTCGAAGTCGAATAAATCGCGCGTCGCGTGACCCAAATAACATGACATGACGCGCGCGCGTGCGCGCAACCCGCACCCTGCGAGGGTGTGTTTTCATCCCCGCCTCGTTTCTCAATCCGCGCGGAGAGCCTTCTCTTTTTCCCTCTTTCTCGTTGCCGTCGTCATCATCGTCATCATTGTGGTAGCCGTCTTGCAGTGCGAACCACGACAGCTGGTGTCGTGACACCTGCTGCAGCATCGTGATCGATATCCGCTCGTTCCTGTGCCTGTCTCGAAGCGAAACGGATTCCGCGATCATGTCCTCGACAGAAAGACGCCCGTTGTAACGACTTCCCTCCTCGTGTATGGTCGTCGGGTGATGTAGCTGGACATCCTCGCGAGGTATCCGCAGCGGCGTCTTTCGATATCCTTTTCGTAAACTCGTCGAAATCTACGAATGTCGCTCGTATAATTTTGTGTGTTTATCTTGCGCGTGATATTTGTGAAAAAAAAAATGTGATTCTCTATTCTGGAGTAGACGCGTGTCGTAAATTGTGGGTGGCATGCGCGCGAAATTTCTTGTTGAATATTTTCGGGGGTCGACGAGAAGTTGATAAATTTCTAAAAAATTATAGAAGCTGCAAAAACGCCAGGATTTTGATCTGTCATTTTTTTCTTTTTTAATAAAAAGTTATTCGATAATCACATATATGTTTAATTATTAAATTATATAAATAGGAAAAAAAGATGTGTTTCATGTTACAATATATGCTACAGAAACTTGCGCGTTTTACTTTAAATAATGACAGTACTGTTAAGATTTATACTATTTTTGTTTATTCATGTGTGTGTTTTTTCGTTCAACGCGTAGATCAGATTTGAAAACGTATCAGATATCATTTGTCAAAATATTCGCGCCGTTCATCAATTCTGATTAGGGGTTAATGAACGGTTAAATATATTATGTGCCAATGAGATAGGTAGCCCCTCGTGAAGCGTTGATACGGTTTCTCAGTCTACGACATGACGGCGCTTCCATACGTCCAACAAGTTTATCAAAGTTTTTCACACAGTGAGCGCACATACGCGGTATCTTAAAGAGATTTGGAGTTGAAAGAGAGATCTCTTTTTACGCGCGAAATAATAATAAATGCAGTTACACATACACTCAAAAAAAGTGCAAAAAAATTTCTACGTCACGAACGCCATTTTATCAATCACTCGACGATTCTTTAAATTGTGATAAAGTGCATCAAAAAAATATTCAATCCTTTTTTTCCGATGGCATTTATCGAGAGATATTTTCAAATCACTCGGATAAATATAGTGTCAGCTGATCGATATAAACAACATCGCTTTTTGTGAAACAGGTGTAACACGAATTTTATTTTACGCAGCAGACAAGCGGATATCGAAATATCGAAGGGATCGTTATAATTTGAACATTATTCGCAAATAAGGAGCATCATGGCTATATAAGATCATTCTTGACTGGGAATAACCATCCCCCCGAATTGTAAAGTAATCAGAAACTTGCCATCAAAGGAAGCTTAATGAGCTGCTGCCCTTTCATGTGAGTACATTTATTATTTCTTTATTTATTATTTATTATTTCTTTATTTATTATTTATTATTTCTTCATGTATAGTGTACATACATTTAATTATTAATAATATATAGGTTATTATATTAATTATTATTATTATAAATGATATAAATATATTATAAATAAAATTTTTGTTAGTTTATAAAAATTATCGTCTAAAGAATAAATATCTTTGAATGAATTTAGAAGTAATTTGGAAAGAAAAGGATTATCTCGAGGAACTTTCAAGAATGCACTGTTATATTTTTTTAGATTAATAGTCTAGTCTAAAAGATGTCAAATCTACGAAATGGTGGCGTGCGATTTTCCAAACACGCGCATACACACATACATGACCACAAGTGCAGCTATGCACAATATGCCGGTCGCTGCACCTTTCGGAACGACTGCGCAGTAGAGAATTCACGGGTCCGCACGAACCCGTGCAACACGCGTGTTTCTTTATGCCGTTACCGTTCACGGTGCGTGCCGTCTATATCTCTCCCACGCTCTCCTCCGCGATCCAGCCTCGCGCTCTTTGACAGCTATCGCTATCCTTCTCGCGCTATCGGCGCCACGACGTCGCGACCGATCTTCAGGGCCGTTCCAACAAAAATTCCTTCAATCTACTCTTCGAGCTTTTTAAATCTTTTCTTCTAAGAAATTGTAAAGTTTCTAATCAATTATTACTGTCGGTAGTTAGAGTACTATTCACTTTTCCGTCAGTATGGAAGCTTGTTCTCGTCAACATCATATGATTTCTGGTATAATACCTGAGAATCTTCGATACGCTCGCGGATGCTCGAGGATACGATACTGCGTGAGATCAGCCGCGGGCGACGAACGTGCGCAGCTGTCTGTATCTGTATCCGAAGCGAATGCGAGTCCGCTGTGATCCGCAGCTGATGCGGTTCGCGGCGCGTCGTGCATCGTGTTTGGTCTCGCGTGTGTTTCGTCTTGGAAGAGAGGAGGACGGCGGGAAAGAAAAAAAAAATGTGTCGCGTCGAAATTCATCGACACTGTCCTCGAGTTGTCGTTGGCCGCGATCTTGAACCCGCGATCGACGTCGCGTACGCGCGATAAAGATCCCGGATCCGGGATCTTCCCCGAGGAAGGAGGGAAGGAGGACGAAGGGGAGGAAACGGAGGGTTTCTCGGAGTCGTGAGAAAAAAAAACAGACGCTGAAAATCCGCGGTGAGATGCGGTGCGCTCGCTCTTTCTATCTCTCTCTTTCTTTCTCTCTCTCTCTTTCCCTGCGGGCATCCGGACAATGAGCCGTAAGGAGCGAAGGTAGACAAAGGGTCGCCGGACCGCCGAGCGTCCCGGCGCAGTTTATGTTCGTTTACGCTGCGATCGAAACACCGATCGCTATGCGACACCATCGAGCGTAGAAGATTAGCCCGGTCACGCTTGTGACGAGGGTTCGCTCATCCGCGAGGTCGACCCGGGGTTGTTGCCTGCTCGCGATCCGAGGATCACATTGCGTTTTCCTACGCGGATCTTTTCTCTCTCTCGCGTACATCCAGCGAAGGTGACCCGTGATGTCGACGTGATGCGCTTTAGTCTTGAGACTCTTCAGGATTTCCGCGAGGAAGATCCTCGTAGAGCGAGTATAATAGGGTGCACCAAATAAAGCGGATGGTTGGAACGCATAGAGCGACGATCGCAGAATATAGCCATTATGGAAGCATTGCGTTTAGCTATACAGTGAGTGTCCTTTTTTAGATGCACCCTATATTAGTTTGTTTTTCTATTATGCGAAAAGCGAGATTATAATCGCGGACAGACATCAAGAAAGGCAATTTGTATATGTAAAGTTATGCAGTGAGCCTTTGTGTATTTTGACTTTTATCTCCAATAAGAATGCTTCGCAAAATTTTAAATACAACAACAGAATAGAATTTTAAGTGTATTATTTATTTCAATTAATCATGAATTATTCATTTTTTTCATTAATATGTGTATTTCATAAATCCTGTCATCTTGTGATAGTTTTTTATTATGTAAAACATGATGTATCAGAAATGAGTGTTGTAAAATCATTCTGTAAAACTTGTTAAAGGAACTTTTAGTTTGGCTCTCTTATCTTTTTTTTTTAGATAATATTTCAAATACACATTTATATGAATATTTCAAATTACAGACAATTACAGATAATAAAATAGTTAAGCTGTTATTAAGCAAATTATTTATTACCATGGTTGAGTTATTAATTTCTTAAATTTTTTTCTTTTATATATATATATATATATATATATTCCATCATATATGTTTCATATAATAATTATATACATTATGTATATTATTATATATATATATTGTACTATATATTATTAAATATTTATTTTAATATTTCTTATAATATATGTAATATATTTTACTGCAGTGATTACATTTTTTCTAATTTCTTTCAGGACGCGGCTTGGGGAGAGGATGGTCAGCATGAGCTCCATGCTCGTAGAGACAGTCAGTATAAATTATGAAGATTTTAATGAGAGTTTTTTAACATGCGGCACCTGTCTCTGTGTTTATGATGGCAGCGAGCATACACCTAAATTATTACCATGTTCACATACGGTATGATTATATGTAAAATAGAATGTAATTTATACATGTACATATGTGATTGTATTTGTATATGCGATAATCTATCTGTTTATTGTAGGTATGTCTACATTGCTTAACAAGGATTGCTGCATCCCAAACACGAGAGACAGGAGCATTTAGATGTCCCATTTGTAGGGAATTAATAACAATTCCTCGTGGAGGGGTACCCGCACTGCCCCCGAGTTTTCTCGTAAATCAATTACTAGACCTTATGTCTCGACAAAGACGAGAGGTATAATTGATTGAAACTTTACAAGTTTTCTTTTTTGAATAAAATTTCAATATTATTCTTCTTATTCTCTATTACAGGTCATCCCAAAGTGTTCAGTTCATATAAATCAGGAATTATTATTTTGCGAAACATGTGATACAGTATTTTGTACAGTATGTACCAGTGGAACACATGCAGGAACGTCGCCTGGATGTACAGAACATACAATCATCCCTTTCAGTATTGCGATAAAAAGGATGTCCGAGATATTGCTTTATAAAGCTAATGAGTGTATATCTAAGGTGAAAACTAGTTTTTCTCTTTTTAATACTTGAATACTATATTTATGTCTCGCGCGCGATTTTATTATACTCTATAAGTATTACTCTTTATTATATTATATTATACTCTATATTATACTCTATAAATATTACTAACACAAAGTATAATTAACATTTAAATTATTATATCTAATTATATTAAATTATAATTAATATTACATTATTAATATAATAATGAAAAGACTATGTTTATATAGAGATCACTGTAGTTTTCAGTAGTCAATTTATTTTATAAACTATAAATGAAACACTATTAAAATTTAAGATATCGCGTCATTGTGCGCTAAGATGCTTACAAATCAATTAAGTAATAGGGGATTATCATTATAATATAACGTAAAATGGCTTAATATAACGTAAAATGGCTTAATATTATTGAATTAAGAGTTACATCTTTTAGTTAACACAGGCACAAGACTCTGTAAGCACGGAACTACAGCGTTTGGAGGCTTCCACGGAAAGATGTCTAAACGCGGTAGATACGGAATTTGCGGATATTATTGCGAAAATAGAGAAGCGTCGAACGGAATTGCAAGCCGCCGTAAACGCCGCTGCTCGTGATAAGAAGCATGTACTCGAGGAGCAGCATTCTCTCATAGAGGCGGAGAAAAACAAGGTGGAGAGAGAATGCGAAGGATTGCAGTATCAGGTAGAGGACGAGAAACGCTTTCATACATGTCATCTTTCGTGGATATCGTTTTATAATAATGAAATTTGATTTTAAAGGTCGAGGTCCGAAATATTACTCAGCGTATTAACAGCCTATCAGATCAGCTCGACGCGGCGACCGCTCTCAGTGAACCCAAGGAAAATGCTTTCATTACGTTTGAGTTTAATCATAACGATGCTCTTTCTCAGTTGGAGCAAGCGCTAAGCAATTTAGGACGAGTACGTTCTAGTACAACATTGCCAGGTATTTTCAAAATTAATATAATATAATAAAATACTCGCTTTAAAAGATTCGTTCGTATTAAAACGTATCGTATTTCACGCTGATATCATGTAAAGCGATATAAAAATAAAAATTCTTGATGCATTAGTGTTATAGTATTGAATTATAATGTCGAAGTCACGAAAAGTCACACAAAATTAATTTTTTATACTTATGTATTATATTAGGTTTATGTCGAGCTAGACTGAAAGACTTAGCGATAGCGAAATTACAAGCAACCGTCGTAGTCGAAACGGTGGATTATCACGGTCATCCTCGGAATGTCGGTGGTGATCTGATCAGTGCTGAGTTGACACTCGCGGATAACATACATACGGAAAATCAGAATGTTATAATTGAGACGGAAGTAAAAGATTTGGAGAATGGAACGTACGAGATTTATTTCCGACCACCGACTGCGAATCGATACGTTTTAAAAATATCCGTATTCGAACGACCCATAAAAGATTATCCGCTATTTTTCGACGCAACCGAGCATAATGAAGCTATTAAGATATACGGAAGACGTGGTAACGGAAAAGACGAGTTTCATCAACCAGTGTCAGTTGCAGTGGACGACGAAGGAATGATCTATATTTTAGATACTGGAAATTCTCGCATTAAGGTTTGTTTGGAAACAATACAAGAAATACGATATCTTTTATAGCAAGATAATTTTTTCAATCATTTTTATAATGCTTTAGGTACTCAATTGTGATTTGGAATTTCAAAGGCATATAAATAATGAAGGTTTAGAGGGTCGCAGTTGTACGGGAATAGATATTTCTCAACAAGGTCTCGTAGTTGTAAATTGGCGGACGCGAAAAATCACGGAAATGACTTCGTTAGGTGATACGATCCGATCTTTCTCGCATAACGCATTTCAAGTTAGTAGTTTTTACTACACGTTTTATCACTGAAAAAAGTATTAATAATACTTATAAGTTATTTGTTAATGAATTGTTATGTTTTGGTCTTCTAGGAACCTATAGACATTGCAGTAGATCAGAATTATGGACACATACTTGTCGCTGATAATGGTAAAAGTTGTGTGTTTGTATTTGATTCAGACGGCAAGATACTATTCCAGGTTAATATTTAAATACATATACGAATAATTGCAACTGCAAGTTGCCTCATATGATCCTTATATAGTTATCATGAAATATTAACAGGTCGGTAAGAGAGGCACATTTAAACTAATCAGTTCTGTGACTGTCGGCCCTGCCGGTGAGATTCTGGTTGCTGATAGCAGAATTCAAGTCTTTTCCGCAAAGGGAGATTTTTCTGAAGAAATATACTCCGAAGGCAAAGGTAAGTTTTAATATATTTGATGATGATTCATTCATAATATCACACATTTTACTGAAAATCTCTCAAAGAATACAATTTTTTGCGATATGAAGTGGAGATTTAAAGAAATATTTTAACGCGATAAAAGACTAAATACCCGATTTATGTATACAACAGGAAAAGGTACCTATGGAGGAATATCCGTGGATGCGGATGGCAAAATAGTTGGCACCCGTACAGACAAGGGCCGTAGCATAATACAAGTAATGAAGCTAGGTGGAGGTAATATTTTAACTGAAATTGATTCGCATAGTTCAAAATTGCGACGTCCATCAGGTATAGCCGTATTACCGGATAATCATTTAGTGGTAGTGGATTTGGGCAATGATTGTATAAAAAAGTACAGATACTGGTAGAAAGTTGTTATCCATTTGAGTATCAAAATTCACAAATCGCGAGCGAGAAAAAAGTTCGTTACGAAAAGAGATACCAAATGTCAATCTAATTTAGAATTATTTATTCAGGTATTTCTGTGAAACTTATAGCTGTAACATTATGTATTATGATAAAAAAATATGCCTATGTTTTTATAAAAGATTTTTATATATAGTTTATAAATTGCAAGATAAAACGCGTGTGAAGTGAAATAATATTAAAAAGGAAGCATCGCTATTTTAACTTTCTTTTTTTCTTGCAATATGTGTTGCTACATAATATTTTATAATTTATATTTTGTCTTTATTTATAAAATTTAATTTTTTGAATATTTTTTCTCTTGTGTTTTCTGCGCGAATGCGAGAATACAAAGTTTTCACTGTGCATAAAACAAAGTCATTCGAAATGCTCAGTACTTATTATGTACTTTTTGTATTTTACTAGATCTTAAATCATTGTGATTAATATTTTTTATTATTTGATTGTTTGAAAATGCATAACAACTCTGTTACTGCTGACTAATCCAAATACATCCACAGATGATGAGATCCTCTTTCAGTTTTGTATGTCAAATTAATATGTAAAATAAGGAATATAAGTTAAAAATTGTTTATTTCTTGTTCTGTGTCAAACACATAATAATTGCAATTGAAATAATTGATTTAAATGTTATAAGAGAGAGAGAGAGAGAGAGAGAGAAACAATATTCACAAATAATAAATAGTCTAAAAAAGGCTGTATAAAGTTTATCTAATATAATATTGCATTGAAATCCGGGAAACAATTCATGTCCGATGAGAAATATAAAACTAATTAGTGAAAAAAAAATTTTTTTAATAAATCAAGTTTTATTTCTGGCAAAATTTCTTCTCATCATGTTTGCGATCGTGACTGACATAATAGTTTTTCGACTCGTCATTTTCATTTTTATTTCATATTTTTTGATGAGCTAGCTCTTCTCCTTTTTTCTCAAATAAAAATATTATATAATCATTTAAAAATATGATTGGGCGATGCAAATTCAATAATTTGAACAATTGTTAGATTTGATTCGGATCGAGTTCATCTACAGATGTATAATAATATCATATAGAAGTTATTTACAGTTATTTACACACATACACACTGCCGTTCCATATTATTTTACATCTTCATCAAAATAGAATACGGAATTATATCATTATATAAACTTTTACGTTACATAAAATTAATATATGAAAAAATTGTTTGAATATCTTACAATTAGTGTTGAAGTTTAGAAATTTTCGTTGAATTGCAAACATTTTCATTTAAAATCATAGATATTTTTATTAAATTTAGAATCATTAATTTTTTTCGCTATATTTCATATTTATTTTATTATATTTAACTTATATAGTATGTGTTTCTTGTATCACATATTTATTAATTTATGTTTCATGATTTGTGTGAAAAAGCTAATTTTTATTTTTTTTAATTTCATCTTCGATTTTATTTTATTTTTGAACGTCTTTATGCAGCACTTTTATTTTACAGAATAACACGCAAAAGTTCCTTGTCCTTTTTAATAAATAAGACTTGGGTTACTCGCGCATCGGTACTATTTGAAATTTTTAACTAAATAAAGCGTAAATTATAATTAATGTAAGATAATCCTAGGCACACACAAATAACTAGAAATATATTAAGAATTGTATATATATTTTTTCAGTATTATCATATATAAATTTTGATAGAATTGGCGTCATGGTTATTTATCTAGAGAGATAAATAGTTTATTTATCTAGAAGTTTTCTAAACTTTATGTAAAACATACATGATTATTTCGATAATGGCGCATGTTTCTGAAGGCCTACAAAATCATTTACCATAATTGAATTATTCGCTGTTGAAAAGACGTTACATCCCGATTTTTACAACTTTCGCCGCGCAAATAATTTCTTTCAAAATTTAATATATATATATATAAGTATGTATATTATTTAAATTAAATTATCAAATATAAATCAAGAAACTGATCAGGAAATTAGGCAATTTGACAAAAAAAATTAAGCGACAAAATTTATTATATTGCGTAATTTGCTTTTCTATTTAGAAATATTTAATGTCCGTCTGAAGACTATGGTTGTATTCGTGAAATGTTATCATAGCATAATATGTGTATCTACTTATTCTTTGATACTTATTTCTTGACCGAGAGTGATATAAACTTACACATATATGTACGCGGCTTATAATGTCTATTTCTGTAACTCCGGAAAGAAATATTTTCTCATGTAATACTTATTAACTTCATTTATATAATTAATTTTTAATATAATTATATAATCATAATATTTATATTTATGCCATTTTGACATGACTTAGATCTGAAAGTGTATATTTTAAAATTGTTCGTCACTTATGTTAAAAGAGCGAATGCAATAATGTTAATCAATACAAATCAATACTTTATATTAATTTTATATTATATTAATATTTATTTTTTTTATTTATATAATTGAAAATGTTAAAATATCTTAAATAGATGATTTTTTAAACATTTTTGAATTATATAAAGTAATTTTTAAATTCTAAGTGCTTAAAGAAAAGTTTTATGTATAAGAATGACATTATTTCGAAACCTTACAAATAAACAAGTTAGATTGTTTAGTTTGAGAAAAAAAAATGAAAAAAATGAAAAAAAAAATTATTTGGATACAATCCAAAATTGAGAAAAAGAATGATAGATAATTTTATCAAATGATTTTGCAATTGCATTCGCCTCTTTACCATTGATATTTACGAGAAATTTTCTTGTTGTATTATAAAAATCTCTTTTGGAATACGCAAGTTTCATTTGCGAACCAAACAATTTAAATTGAACACAATCTCTTACATTTCGAAATTTATATCTTTGCGGGGAAATCTTTTAACAAGCCTATTTTTTAAACTGTATCGCAGATACATTCCTTATGAACTGCTTTGCAGAGTGATCTATCATATAAGCTACATTTAATATAAACTATTACATATATTGCTTGTATATGTACGAATACGACGAGTCACTAAAACACGCATTATCTATCGTTAGTTCTTAGCGAAAAGCAGTGCCTTTATTGAGAAGATGTCACGGTTTATCTCTTACGACGATTATGTTCTCCTTTTGCGTTCAAATCCGGCTACTTTAATCATTACACGAATGCCTTGCTTTTGGAAGCGCGGCATTCGGATATGATTAAAAATCACACTTTTCGCATAATTATTCACATATAAACGATGAATACGAATGCGCGCGAGGCAGATAAAGATATAATTAATAGTAATTATCATCAATATGTAATAATGTAAAAAAAAAGACAGGCATCTTATAAAATTGTTGAAAATATGATGAGTTGCAACGGGTCTAAAATCAATCAAATCGCGATGTTTTATCGCAATAATCTGTGTTAGTCACACAATTATTACAGATTTGTATTCGGAAATTTCGCGTTTTATTCAACGTACATCTCGAGTCTCATGGAAAACAAAACGCTCTACAAACTTGCATATTAATTGTAATGTGAAAGTGTGTGTTATATTAAAGTCTGACTCTAGAAGATAAGCTTTTGATTCATCAGCATCCTATTCGCCTAATCAAGTCGCCATAGGTGATACATAAACATACACATGATTGATTTTAATATTCGCGTTTTCTCTCTTCTTTCATACATACGTGTACGGATTTTTCGGCAGCCATAAATATCTATATAAATTCAGACTGATATATATTTCTTGTTTGTATTTTTTCTTGATATTGTTTAATCTAGTCATACGTCATCTGTAACACTTATGTATTATGATTCTAAAATGATGTAACATAAAATAAATTGTAAATAAATGTATAAGCTTGATTCATCGAGGTGTTTTAATTGAACGTTTGAAAATGTGTTATTTCCTCATCAAGTGCTAAAGTGGCACTATCTCTTTTTTTTATTTTAATTATTGTTTAAATTTCCCGTAGATAAATCTTTATTATTATTATATAATTGATATGTAATTTATAGTTATATATTATTGTATTATACTATTATATTAATGTACTATAGATGTTACATTTGCTCGGTATTATTCATCCTCGACGTAAATTGCTATATAATACACATAGTAAAAAACTGCGTAATCTTGGAAAAAAATTTACCTCGTCGAGCGATAATAACATCAACACAGTTGCGTATAAAATCACGACGTTTCGAATACCTCCGAGATTATCGTACCATCGCGCTGCGCCGTCTCGAGACGACTGTCCCGGAGTCGTGGGTCGTGGGATCGTGGGACGCCCGCGTAGGAGTTTCACGTCCCTGAGCGCGCTCAGGAGAGACAGAGAGAGGGAACGAGATTCGTGGGAGGGAGCGAGATAGCAATAGGACGCTAGCTAGCACACCGGCCGCGGTGCCTACGCTTTACACGGCGTCATGGTGGTAGTGAATGGAACGCGGTGCGCCGCACGTCCTCGAGTAGTACGACGCTCCGCGGGCGTCGCGCGCCACCAATGGACGGTGAGTACGGGCGGTCACGTGACGTGCGTGCCGAGCCAGCAGCAGAACATTGCAAATGACAAGACGCGTAGGGCATTGTGTCGTCGCGCCGCCGCTACCGCTACCGCTACCACCGTTGCCGTCGTCGCCGTCGCCGTCGTCGTCGTCGCCGTCGTCGCCGTCGTCGCCGTCGCCGCCGTCGCCGTCGTCGTTGCCGTCGTCGTCGTCCACGAGATCGAGAATTCCTCCGTGGTCGCGTCGCGAGCCGAGAAGAGTGTCCAGAGGCGCTTGGCACGGGTACGTGTCGTACGTACGGGTACACGCGTCCCGTAAAAAGCAGCCGTAGTTGCGCGCGCGACTCGTCGAGCGGGGGCTCTTCTCTCCCGCGCCCTGAGCCTGAGAGAAAGAGCGGCGGCCGCCGAGGCAGGAGGAAGCCGCGTCAGGTGCGCGTCCGCTCTCCGCTACGTTTTCCCCGCGCGCGCGCGCGCGCGGAGGTGCGAGTCCGCTCCGGTGCCGCTCCGCTCGCCGAAGGAGAGGAAAGGATGTCGAGCTCGCAGCGTATGCGAAAGTCCTCGCCATGCTCCAAGCAGGGCCCGATGCGCGCCACCCTGCCCGTGAGCTCGCTCATGAGGCAGGGCCGGCAGAGCAGCAGTCTCCGCAAAAGCAACAGCAACAGTCCCACCGTCTCGCCGACGAACGCGACCACCTGGCGAGCGCGCATCTCGCCGGAGACATCGTCTTCCTCGGGGCAGCGGAGTCCCGGGTCCCTGTCCTACAAAGGTATGTCGCCTCCTCCCCTCTGCCTCCCTCCCTCTCTCTCTTTTTCTCTCTCTCTCTCTCTTTCTCTTTCTCCCTACGTTCTCCTCCTTCTCCTCCTCCTTCCTCTCGCCCCCCCTCGCGGGGGCTTGTTCTTTGTGCTCGTTTGAGTTTTGATGAGGGGAACGCGTACTCGCGCGCGTGTTCCCTCGAGAATCCTGGAAATCATCATCGGGGACGAATGTCGGTTCCAGTGGTGATTCTATGGAGCCCGACCGGTACTGTAGTTTGTTCTAGGAGCATAGAGCCAGAATGTTATCTCTTGGGATTCTATTCTGTTAAGGGGTAGGTAAAATTGTGAAGTGTGCAAGGTTTTAATATTCGATATTACTTGGAGTCATTTCCTTCATAAAGAAATAAGATTTCTCACATTTTGATTGTCCAAGGTAAGCTGGATAGAATGTTTTATTGTATTTGCTGCGCAGATGTAAGATAGACATTCTTCGTCTGACTTGGAGATGTTTACTTCTCGCAGTGCTTTGTGTTTTGTATTATTTGACACGAGACTTCTTTTCATTATTTGAATTGTAGAATAAGAAAGAATGGAAGAGAGCAAGAATTTGCAAATTGTACTCATCTTGTGCATTTTGTTTTAACATTGGAAAAGAATTATTTTCTTAAAAAGTTTCTCTGTTATTTTTTTTTTCAATTAAATTTATTGAAAAAAGAAAAATTGCTCGTTTCGAGCGCAAACTGTCATTATTTGCTCTAAGTTTATTATAATTATTTATAAATATATTTTGCACTTTTATTCTTCAATTTGTAAGTGCATTACTGTGAAATACATTTATAATTTTGCTTTTAAATGTACTTTATAAATTATATTCCACTTTGACTAACTCAACATATTATACATATATTGTACACTTTATACAAAGGTTCGCACTTTATATTATTTACAAAAGTTTAATTCAGTTTGACTCCTGCATTTTTGCACATACATTACAACTACAGTAACTGAAGAAACATTTTTAGTTCAGTTACATTGTGGATTTATTATTTATATTTGTTTTTTCACTGTTTTGATTATTAAATTTTAATTAGTCCAGTAACCGAAAATTGTCTTTTTAGTTCGGTCTGGTCCACATGTACCTTTAATAATTGCATAATGGAATATCTTTATTTTACAGTGTCATTTAATTGAATATTTTTGTATCTTACAGCCAAATCAAAAACACTAAGTGGTCGCTGTAGCGATAGCTTAAGTGGCAGCCAGAGTATTCGACGAACAGCATCACTGGATACCATCTATCTAAAAGGACAATGGCCACGTGACTCCTATTACATGCATTCCAGTCTTCTGGTGGACAAATCTACTCAGGTGAGTACATTTTGTTTCAGTTTTAGAAACGTATACTTAAAAATATAAAGTGACATTTATATTGTATAAAATTCATCTGATTGATATTTTTAATTTTTATTATATAGACGGAAGAATGTTCCAATGAACCAAGAAAAATGCATACTCGTCACCCTACAGAACAAACGGTCACCGATGAAAAAATGGAGAAGAATTATTTCAGGCATCGGTATGTGTTTTGTATTGTCTTGTTTCTTATGTTTTATGCTTATTGAAAAATTCATATGCCACTTTGTATATCTTATATATATCTCACATATATTGTTATCACAGATTACAACGTACAAATAAGGAAGGTACTAGCAGTAGAGAACGGACAGCGGCATTCGGACTAATAATGCCGGGTGGTCCACCACCCGCGCTTCCCGGAGATCATTCAGTACTTTTACCCAGTATTGTTTCACAGACATCAATGCGTGAGTGACTACTCGAAAGCTTTTTGTTCTGTTATTTAAATTATCAATTAAATATTTTCGTTCTTTATTTTTACAGACAATCAATTTAGTTTGAGTACAAAAGCAAGTCCCATGAATATCCCAGTGAAACCAATGAGGCCTCCAATGCGTTCGTCTATCGAAGGGCTCAATCAAGAAATCGAAGGACTCGTGCTCAAAAGTACAGCCAATAATAGCGATACAGATCATCCAATAGAGGACAAGGTAGTACAGAATGTTGAAAATTATTTAGAATTCGATATTTTAACAAAATGAAATATAAAAAAAGTAACTTGCACATATAAGAAAAAAGAGAAAAAACGCATGTTTTAAGAACTTGTAATTTTATAACTTATATTTCATCTTAAAAGATATTTTTTTCAGAATCAATCCATGTATATTCGTTATTAAGATATCTTTTATCTCAAATATTTGCATCTATATTTAAATAATTAATTGAGAATATACATCATCAAATATTTTATAAGAAAAGTTTTAAAATTTTGTTTTTGCTGCTGTGTTCTTTTTTTACATACATTACATACAGTCAGTTTCATACAATGATGACTATTTTTTTCTTTAATAATTATATTAATTTATTTCTTAATTTATTTCTTTTTTAAAAAATATAAATAAATCTATCTAAAAATACATCTTTTTTAAAATATATCGAATCTATTCTTTTCTAGTATGCACGATATCGTGAGCAAATCACACCTGAAGGACATCGCGCTCCTTTAGCAGATCTATTGCGAGCTACTCGGAGTGTCAACACACAAACGCCGGCTACTGACCTTCCTTCCAGTTCTTATTCTTCAGGTAAGTTGTGTAAAGGCATTTTTTATGCTCAATTAATTTATGAATATAATTGATGATAATTATTACAAATTTGCAAAAGATTTTGAATGAATCGTGATATGATAAATTCTTCCAAAGATAGGGTGATAGGCAATATTAATAAGAGAAATTATATAAGCTATTTTATAAAATTATCCATTCTATATATAGAGAGATCCTTTATGAGTGGTATAATCGGAAGTCATCATTTTATGTAAAAAAATATAAATTAATTGAAAGTAGAATAAAAATTTCTTTCTACAAAAATTGTTTAAAAAAGATAATTGTATTCTATAAAAAATGTTATTCTATATATTGAATTTATTTTTTATAATTTGCCTTTTGATTATAGTTGTATAACAATTACCAATCTAGTATGTGTGTTGTGTATATATATATATATATATATATATATATATATATATATAATATAAATTAAACATTTATATATAAATATATAAATATGTATTCATATTTTATATTTATATATTTATATATTTTTTCTGATTAATCACTTCTGGTTAACATAAATATATTTAGTATAAATAACACACTAACTAAAGGTGTGTGCCTGTTGAGACAGGCCCTCCATCTAGGAATTCTGAGTCTCCGCTGATTCCTGGTGTTATGGATGCGTCCCGTCCGCCTAGCGATCTCTTACAAGGTTGGAGCATATTTGCCGAAAGATTTGATTTTTCTTTTCACAGATCTCATTTGTTTATTTTAATCTCTTGATTTGCCATTGTCGATACTACATATTTATTTATAGATGAGTGATAGATAGTGAATCATTAAGAACTACCATCCTCAATAAATTTTATAAAAAGATATTTTAGATAAAAAGTATTTGAGGAAAACTACATATGATCAGTACAGTTTTGTTACAGATGGAAGCGCTTTCAGATAAGAAAAAAAAAACATATAATTTAAAAAAACTGAATGAAGATGAAGATAATTTCAAATCAGGCTCACAATTTAAAACAAAATTGTGCTATGAAACATAGAGTATCTCCATTGTGAGATTAAACAGTTTTATCTGAAACATTTTTCTATAACACGCATATTTTAAAATTTATTAAGGAGGGTAACTTTTTTTTAGTGTGGTTTATATTATACAATTATATATACGCACAATATCTTATACAATTATATATAAATAAAAAAAATATATTTCCATCAAGATTTATTAGGATATTCATCTTGCATGACATTATTGATCCCTAAAAGATCATCAAGGTATATATAAAATTTAAGAATAATAATATTAAATTTTGTTTATTTTTTTCTAATTCATGATTTTTACAGTTATATTATTTTCATTGTGATTGAATTTCTATTCAAATGTTTGATTTTTTCTATTATTATTAATATATATTATTAAAATATAGGCATTTTTAACAATAATAAGATAACATGTAAATCAAATATTCAACGAAATTCTATACATAGTGGAGTTAGTTGCATGTTTTGCTATGACCTAAGAATGTTTCATGTATCACTTATTTATTCTTTATGTTAAGCATTTTTCTCTTCTATCATTTTATAATATATAAATATTGCTATCAATGTGTTCATATTCATATTTTGTACTACATGCATTATACAAAAATTCTAACAATGTTAAAAATGTGCATGATAACATTACGATTAATTATATATAACTCAGAGAATACTGATATTTATTTTATTTTATTTTTTCCAGCACCACAAGCGCAAGAATATTAATATTATATGTTTTCCCTCTATATTTTTAATGCTATCAAATATAGCACGAAGATGATTTGAATTTATACACGCACACACACACACACACACACGCACACACACACACACACACACACACACACACACACATATATATATATATATATATATATATATATATGTATGTATATATATATATTTTTTTTATTGCAAAAAATAAATGTATAATAATACTCCATTTTACACAGGCTCACTGTTCACGTATTGTTTACAAGCATCTATTATTAAAGTTATTGAATAGCATGTAAAATCTATTATACATTTTGATCATCAACATACGTCAATCAAAAACGTTTCATACAGCATTTCAGTTCTTAAACGACAACGTGACTTTAAAATTCTTTTTTAATTTATAGGTGGAAGCCGTGGTTCAACACCTGAACAAGATAGAGAAGGACGTCTCGGCACTTCTCCTCACATTAACAGGTTCCTGGCGAGGGAACCGCCCGATGGCTGTGAGAAAGTCAACCTCAAATTTGTGGAAGATGCAAGGTAACGTAGAGATCATTTTCTACTATCATTTCTTGAAATATCTCTAAATAATAATCCTTTTTTCATATTTTCACACAGGCGGCCCATGATAGATTTGAGTAAACTAGACTATTGCCCAAAGCCGTGCGTTCCAGCATTCCAGTTGAAACCCAGCTCTGGATCAGCGTTCCTGCCATTGCAACAGTCGGCCAGCCCGACGATGGTCGCCTCGAGTGCATCACCTTCCGCGCATACAACACCGACCACACCTCCACCAAATCCATAGTCCTACTCTTTATCTTGCGGTGTTACACTTGTAAGCTCGATTAGTATATATATATACATACATATATATATATACATACATATATATATATATATTTTTTTTTAACGACCTTGTGGGTAGAAAGTGATTTACTTCGACATAAAGGCATATATATCGACAAAGAAAAGTTACCGAACAAAAAGGAAAAGAACAGCCTGTTCCCAGTGCGCACCGCGCGGACATCGTGCGGGCATCATGGATTGTGTAATTAAAAAAGTTGCGGAATTGCATCGATACAAAAAAAAATAAAAATAAAGGAAAAGAAGTATTTGGACGGCATCCGAGCTCCGTTTGTAATGTTCGAAACAATAATATATAAATACGAGGAACAATAATTTGTGATAACTAAAAGAAAAAAAAAACACAAAAAAGATAAAGAAACAACAACGTTTAGGAATGAACATTGTGTTCTACAGGGAAAAAAGACTAATGAAATTGCGTATTCTAAATTTAGTGCTAAAATGTGCTAAACGACTTTAATTTTGTACACACGGATAAGTATTCAAGATGACAAAAGAAGTATTAAATTTGATTGTTGGAATAAACAAAATTATATGGATACAAAACAAAAAAGGCACGTGTGCACAATATATATGTATGCACGTATACGTATATGTATATATATGCATACGTATATATACATTGTTGCTCGTCTCTATAATGTTTTTATTAGAATCTTCATTGTTTGAAGTACTCGATTACATAGTGACAGAGATGTGAATCACCCTTGTTAGAATTTTGTATCGTTTTGTATTATTACTTGTATGCTAAAAATATTGTCAAACTATTATCATATGAAGAGTTAGAAAATGATGTATCCCTATGTGTTTTTGTTTTACAGAAATGGGATTTTACACAAGAACGTTATTTTTGAAGCGAAATAGATATGCGCGCGATTGTTTATCACGAAAATTTATTTGAAGTCGCGTATTCATTACAGATGTATTTCTCTCTTTATATAATATCTAAGAAATTAATAAATAATTCTAAATTTGGAACGCGAAATTATGTTTGATAGTTTGAAATAATTCAAATTTTATTCGGAATTGATGTCGTCTCATCGTTCTTCCATTCTGTTTTACGACAATATTATAGGGCTACAATATTTTTGATTTATCTTATATATTACGTTAGATTACAATCTCTGAATATGTACAACCAACACAACATGCAGTGACAGGTTGACGAATGCATGGTGGAATGAATCCAACGTAAGAAGGATATGTATTGAGTAGAGAAAGACGCGAGAGAGATGAGTGATAATACTAAATATTGTTTGAAATAACGACATACGCTTTTGTCAGTGTGGTATCAGATGTGGAATGAAAACGGCTCCTTAATCTGGCACGGAAAATAGGTGTGTATGTTTTTTGTATAAGTGCGGATAATTATTTCGAGGATATATAATCTGCGTCTTATACAAAGTGACAGTATGCATGTGTTGTAATATCAGAACTCTTATTAAATCATCCACGAATAACTTTGAAAAAGATTCAAAGTGCAACAACAAAATCAATTTTAAAACGAAGATCAATTTCGTTAAAATGCAAATTGAATATCAATTTATAAAAATGGACCCTTGTGTTAGATTAGATAATTAATTATTTAAATGGAAATTTATTGTTTTAATTTCGATCAAAGATTATATTTTTTATTGTGTATCTATGTTAAATTAATTGAGATACCTTAAAGAAAGTTATTAAAATATGAGCGCAAAAAGGAAAGAAAAGCTGAAAGTTATTCGTGCGATGGATTAAATTATCGTTTACGCAAACATAGCCACTCGGAAGTTGAAGTTTATTTTTTGCTTTCTAGTACGAAACACATTTTGCAAACAGTTTTTATAGTTACACCGTCTGGGAGGAAAATAAGAATCTTGATAGTGTGTAAAGGCAAGAGCGTGGAAGAAACGGTTTTTTAAATACGATAGTAATATACTTTCTAATAATGTAATGTATATCTAGCTACAACAGTGAAGAGGAAAAAAAGAAGAAAAAAAAGAATGTTAACACATAAGTACCTGGCACACTGGTCTATGCTCTCTCTTATCCAGCTCACTAGGAAGTTCATGCCTTAGAATGCGTGGTAAGGTGTGCTATACATAGACAGGAAGGTTAATCAGAGAGTCAGGATACACAAAATGCACATGGCTAGTTAAAGTGTATACAATACGAAGATACTGTATAGTATTTACTAGCTTAAGAGAACTTCGTTTTTTATTTATTTTGCTACAGATCTAACAACAACACACCTCGTACCACACCGCACACTCTCTGTCGTATCGATATCTGAGTGTAGAGCAGCTTCGAGAAGAGAAAAGCGTATTTGACTACATTATTATACTTCGGTCTGTTTGCGCGCTTTGCATCTTACTCAAATGATTCCGAAGTAATGCGCGACGCGTAATAGTGTATAATTAACATTAATGAATAAAATGAAACAACAGATTTTCGTAATTTTAATAAGTAGATAAAACGAAAATGATTTTAAAACGAACGCTAGCCTCGTTATTTTCACCGCATATTCATTAATTAGCATTAATGAATAAAATGAAACAACCAATTTTCGTAATTTTAATAAGTAGATAAAAAGAAAATGATTTTAAAGCGAATGCTAGCCTCGTTATTTTCACCGCACTCTGTCAAAGGGCTCCACTCTTTAACCTTCGTGTACTTGCATAATGTGTTATCATTATTGTTAGTTTTCGTTATCGATTCCGTAATAAGCAGAATAACGCGTATGAAGACTGCTAGAACCGAATATTATACCTGTTATTTCGGATATACCTTAAAAAAAAATCTAAAGTTAAATAAATTAGGCTCAAATCATACCGATTACTTATGAACGAGTGTATATAGGTCTATATACTTTAATTCATTATTAAATAATCTCTCCTTACATGACTATACTGTTCGGTACATTCTCTCTACATATCTAAAATCTGAGCAGGCTTCAGAAACGGCAAAATGATTATGTCAATTAAAAATTTATTTAACCCTAGGACACAGTCTATAGATGTATCGTTGCAGTATCTTGCACACAAGACGAAAATGATTGTTGAACGTGTATCGTAATTTGTAAGATGCTCAGAATTATACAAAACTCTTTCCAGTACATAGAAAACACATGTGTGTATGTTATATAAAATATCTTTAAAAAAAATTTTATATACCTGCTAAAAAAAAATTAAAAAAATGCAACTTTTATTCACTGTTTTATAATAAATATATAAAACATTATTTAAATTGTTTTTTTTTTTCATTCTATGAAAATACTACTCAAAGATTTACTTTTTAGAATTCGATGTTATTTTTTCTTATGCGTATGTACGCATATAAATATAACTATACAATATACATATTTTTGATGTACCGAGCAATATGTATTTTGATTATTTGAACTTTTCGAACGCTGCATATATTAATGTTTCATCAAACTTCGATGATATATTAACTTTTTGATCGATTATAAAATAGCAAAAAGTTGTGTTAATAAGCTTTTATTCTCAAATATTTATATATTACGATTCATAGGGATTAATATTATTCAGACTAAACTATTGTGACTAAACTAATTTTTATGAGATTGAAAATAGGCAATTTTTTAGAGAGAATTTTTATATTACTTTCATATGTTAGCGCATTTTGGCCTTACGAATGTAAGTTGATTTTTAGAATAATGAACTTCGCTTCGCTTATAATTAATTCTCGATATTTTTGAATTCTCTATTCTAGAAGAGTATCTTACAATACTATAATTTTCCATGTTCTTTTACCCTGCTTTATAGAAATTGATAACATTTGAGATTTATTTAGTTTTCTCATCGGTCCTAGGGCTAAATCAAAATTAGTCGAAAAAGAGAAGTAGAGCATGTAAATAATAATAAAGTAATGCTTCTTGTATTAACAATTTTTGATATAGAACATAAGTGATTCACTCTCAGTGAGAGATGTATCCTTTCGCAAAATTAAATTTATTAATGAAACAACAGCACATCAATAAATAAATATATATATATATGTGTAATACATCATACATATATATACATAAAGAATAATTTCATTTTGTACTTGTATTTTCATGATTATATTTCTCAGTTAAATAATAATTCATTTTTTATTTAATATATTTGCAAGATGTTCCAAAATTGGCGGAAAGTGGATATGTGAGTTCTTTTTGTGAAGCATAAAATTTGATTTTTAATGAAAATGTCAAAGTAATATTCCCATTATAATATTTTAAAAATATAAAGAATTTTTTTATAAATTAATCTTCAGAAATAAAATTAAGAAAATATAACAATTCATATATATAAAGTAAATTCTTTCTTTATTAAAATTTGAAATAAATTAAATTTTCATTTACTTATTTATAAAGAGACCGAGAATAAGAGAGAATTGGAATTAAAAACATTAAATTATGATCTCGTTTAATATTTTTGTTAAGAAAAGAAAAAATAATTTCAATCTTTAATAAGGAACAACGGGGATATGCCATTCTGGAACAGCTTGTATATTTTATTAGATTTTTTAAATTTATTTACTTATAATCTTGCGAATAAGATTTCATAATGTTGTGTGTGATGTCAATTTTATGTGTAATATAAAGTTATTGAAAACTTTTTTTAGTTTCAACACATTTCATTTAACGTTTATGATTAAACTTAAATTATTTATTATGTATCACATATGTTTTCAGAAATTGTGTGAGAATGTAAAAAATTTGAAAAGCATTGAGAATATTAAATGAAACCTTGATGCTTTTAAATATTCTTGAAACACGCTATATTTTGATGTGCTGTATGATTAATTTGAAGAGAAAATTTGTTTTTTATCCTGTCATTTTTTAATGATTGTTTGAGAAAATGACGCGAATGGTTTAATACCAATGCTTACAAAATGAATATGATGATACTACGATTGTGATATAATTTAATAAGCTCACGATGTTTCGTTCGGCTATTGAAATAAATACATCGATTGTTGCGCGCGATGACTTCATCAAATGATATAATTATTACTTTATTCGTCGATTATAAGAAAAAGAAAAAAATGTTAATAATAATAAGTATATTTGTAACTTTCAGAGCATACCACATGCTATTAAGGAAAAAAAAGAACTTCTCTCAATATGGAAAGGTGAGTACGGCCAAAGTGTTGCCTAGTACAAATATATTGTAAAAAAATGGATTGTTGTTTAAATGAGCCGAAAGTGCTACTTGCATTTTGCGCAAATTTATTTCGAAATATACTTATTAATGTCCATGATCTCAACGCGAATCCTCTTATTATCTTACCTCTCCATAGTGAGAATATTCTATGTAAGTTGTTAAAAAAAAATTTTGATTTTTTTTTACATGCGCAATTAGTTGTACTCTGATTTGCCGGCATAATATTGTAGTGTACTTATTCCAATAACAATATGCACCTTTATTTTTGTCATAAAGGATAAATGGAAAGAAAACTGTACCTTTTTATATTATTATTAAGACGCCTTACGTAAATAAACTTTTTAGAAAATTAAATTGATATATTTCTTGTTATGATACGTACAGGAATGTTAAACATAAAATTAAGCGCATGTCAAAGTATGCATGTGCATAAATTTATGTAGGGACATTCCTGATTCATGTATACATAAAAATTTATCTCCATATTTTAGTTATGCAAATCATCCATACTATTCTTGCATTAGTTTATTTCGTTCACTTATTAAATTATCAGGTATATCTTTGTATGAATTTTTGTTGTTTGTAGCCAACTAGTACATACATGTATATTTTTGTTT